TTGCGAAAATCTATAACAAGTCTCATTTTCTTAGAGCCATCCGTATTCTCCTTTTTTGGGACCAGTAAAATCGGACTAGCCCATTCACTGCTACATGGTTCAATAATTTCATCCTTTAACATATCGCTTATTTGTCGATCTAACTCCTCTCGCTGTGAGAACGGTAAACGATAAGGCTTAGTATATATAGGGTACGTACCCTGTTTCAACCGTATCTTTTGCTCTTTGATATTGGCAACCTCTAATTTGTCGCCAGAAATATGAAAAACGTCTGAAAATTTAGCGCATATATTAAGTATTGAAGATTTTTCCTCGTCATTTAAATGATCTAATTTTAGTTGATTTAATAACATTTTTACCCTATCTACTGTTATTGTAGACCTTTCAAAGTTACATATCTCATAATCACGTAGCTTTTCTAATTTAGGATCAAAATAATTCAAAGATATTTCTTGTTCACTAGTATTTAGAATTTGAATTGGAATTTTACCATCTACTGGTTTTCCAATACCACCAGCTAAATATATTCCTTCACCTAACTCCTCTGGGATTACTACACAATCTTCAACTGCGGTAGTATTAATGTAAAAAACTTTTTCACATCTTGGTGGTACCTTTAAAGGAATATTGTGATTTAATTGGCCCAAATGTAATGGTAAGGATGTATTTTCGAGTATAGTTAAGGTATTAAGTTCATAATTTAAGATACATCTATGCTTAGTAAGAAAATCTTGGCCTAATATACCTTCAGCGAAACATGGTAGATTTTTAATAACATAAAAATTATGCTCAAATATATTGTCTTTTAAAAATAGTTTTAAGCACACATATCCTTCTGACTATATACGACCCCCAATACCATTTATGATAATATTTTGTTTATGGATGGGTAAATTCCATTGAGCAACTGTCTCGCTTTTTACGGCTGATATACTGGCACCAGAATCTACTAACCAATTATAAGTTACGTTGTTATAGGGGATTTTGACATAATTACTAAATTCACATGACAGTAAATTAGGCACGAAAAAACATATTCGTATTGTTTTCCGCAGTAGAGGATTGAATATCGTCTTTAGTAGATATTTCATTAACTTCTAAAAGATCTGCATTTAAAGGGTACATACCTCGATTTTGGTATCTTCCTCTCTGCCCCCTGTATGTACTACGACCACGGTTGTTATTATTACCTGACTGTCGCTGCCACCCTTGATTGTAATAGCCTCGGGGAGCTCGCTGATAGTTTCCCCGGGTGCCTCTCCCGTGATAATACGATGAATTTCTGAAAAAACGGCTCTGTGTATTTGACTCACCAGGTTTTTCGTTGTTAACCATCATTATTTCGCCTTCCGTTGAATTCGCAATGCCTTTACCTATTTGTTCTTCGTCTTTTGCCGCACGTATGACGTCTTTAAGAGTAGTATAATTTCGTGCTGCTAAGATCACACATAAATTTTTGTTACGTAAACCATTTATAAATCTATTAATAGCTAACTTTTCGTTGACCGATTTTAGAATGGCAAAAGCTTGTGTATTGCCATCGGCCTGAGCAATAGTTAGGTCAACGAACAGTTGTTCTATTTTCTTTCCGAATTCATCAATGCTACTTAGTTTCTGTTCACAATTAACCATTTCTGCGTGAACAGCATTACTAGATTTTTTAGTTAATAAATGTAAACGCATTTCTTTAAGTAGTTCATCACAGGAGGAATAACTTTGTTGTAAACGTAGTTTCGCACTATCGGAAAGACGGGTCTTCAATACAAAATTAATTAACAACTGTTCGTCATCCTTTTCTATCATAGAGGAATAAAGTTCAATTGCCGAAATGAGACTCTTTGTAATTTTTTCGTCAGAATTCATTACAGGTAATAGAGCTACCGCCGTTTTTAATTGGAATTTTTCCATTTTGACAATTTTCTTTTGCGTGTCACTACAGCAAAGTTGTATTATACGAGCATATAAACTACTAATATCCGTACATAGGTTCTGAATTGTCTCTAAATCACTGCTCGTAAAGTCCTTCCTTTTAATTTGTTTATCTAAATTTGATTTCACAATTAAAAAATTATCATGTATAATATTAGTCTCATTCAGTTTTTTCTCGATAATGTTTTGAGTTCTACGACTTGGCCCTAACTTAGTTAAATACTCCTTTATACTTTTAAAATTTTCATAAATGTCTTTAAGACGATGGGCCATTACCTTTTAAATTACACAAATGGAAATGCACTTCAATATTATTGCAACGCGAACATAATAATAAACCAGGCGTAACAGTCTTACACTAGTAACTTATTGTCTTTATACGAGAGTAAAAGTTTATATTATTGATATCGACTGTATCAGAAAAACTTTTCCTAATCTTGCACAAACACAATTCACTTGTACTCATTTATGAGCAATCGATTTCACCATACTCGCGCACAACACTACATTTACACTTCGCCAACCTTGTATGAAACTTCAGCGGTATTCTGAGCACCTCTCGCCCTAGTCGTTCCTCGACGTAGAGAATGTCGTAATATCTCCTGCCGCATAAGATGTCTTTGACACTTTCTATATAGTATCAGCAGTACGTAGCAAGCACCTCCACAAATAAACATGGCCACAATCATAAGAAGTATTATACTCGTAGTACTTGCATGGCTCATAAACTGGGTAATATCAGCATTATTCGATCTGCCAGCATTTTGTGCGATCACTATCAGCTCTTCCTTAGAAATGGTCTTCCCCATTATTGTAAATTAAAAAATTCGGTGTTTGACTGTGAAACCGGTGTAACGCCCCGTAAACAGGCGCCGCGATGAACAATAATTGTCGACTATTCGTCATCCTTGAAACTTTCTACAGCTTACTTGGAGAGTTCCTAATACTGGTTCCTTTTATGGGCAACGGAATGTAAATAATCGCGCGTACCCGAGTCGCGCCTCTGGCAGGGTCGCCATGAGGTGTCGGGTGTAAAGGAAACAATAATTAATTAGGATACACGTGTTTAATAGATGAAGTCTAGATTACGACTAATACATTCTTAGATCACTACACTACACTATAACGCGGATTAACACACACAAACAAATTATTCCTAATTCCATAAAACTCTGTATTATAGCCGTATTTTTAACTATTGGCCCGAAACTTTCTCTTACATTGAACCTTTATGACTTCTGTGACATGCCCCCGAGAAATGACACGGTTTCAAAACTACGCCTTGTATAAGCTGCTCATGAATGAATCCTATTTCGAATCACTACATAGTATAAAACAAAGTCGCTGTCCGCCGTCTGTCTGTCCCTATGTATGCTTATATCTTTGAAACTATGCAACGGATTTTGATGCAGTTTTTTTTAATACATAGAGTGATTTTTAAGGAATGTTTATATGTATAACTAGCTGTTGCCCGCGACTTCGTCCGCGTAGATTAATGATTTCGGACAGAATCAATTCAGTGCCCAAGTAAGATTTACCTATTTTGAAATGATTTATCGTAGTTTCAATAAATAAATAATCCCGCAGGGATCTTACCAGTACAGTGCCCGATCACGTAAGGTTTGAGTAATAAAAACTATTCTATCGACTATTGTTGTACCGAATCTCTCTAAAATAAGTTCAGTGGTTAAGAGTTAGACAGTCCCGGGGCATTGATGCATAGTTCCCAGTTCCCGTGGGACATCTGTGATAAAAACTATCAAACGTTACCCAGGTCCCAAATCATCGTTTTACCGAATGTAATTCAAAAAGATTCAATGATTCTAAATTCAATGGCTAAGAAGATTTATACAAACTCTCATTCCCTATTTTATCCCCTTAGAGGTGGAATTTATCAAAATCCTTTCTAAGGAGATACCTATGTCATAGTAAATTTATGCATGCAAAGTCTCAGCCCGATCAATTTAAAATTGGCAAAGTATCATACTTTGGGGTGAAAATGTTCAAAAACCTTTCTAAAAGGACGTTTACGTCATAATATATCCATCTGCACGCCGAATTTCAATCCGATCGGTGTAAAACTGACAAAGCTTCATACAAACGTTCATCCCCTACATTACCCCATTGGAGGTGGAAATAATCAAAATCCTTACTTGGGGATGCCTACGTCATAACATCTACCTGCATGCCGAATTTCATCTGCATCGGTGTAAAACTGACAAAGTCTCATACAAACTTTCATCCCCTATTTTACCCCCTTGGGGGTGGAAATTATCAAAATCCTTTCACAGCGGATTACTACGTCATAACATCTATCTGTATGCCTTTCAACCCGATCGGTTTAATACTGACAAAGTCCCATACAAACTTTCATCCCTTTTTACCCCTTGGGGGGGAAATTACCAAAATCCTTTTTAGCGGATGCCTACGTCATAACATCTATCTGTATTCCAAATTTTAGCCCAATCTATCCAGCGGTTTGGGCTGTGCGTTGATAGATCACTATGTCAGTCAGTCAGTCAGTCAATCACCTTTGAATTTTATATATATATATATAGATATATAGATATAGATATATAGATATAAGCATACTGCACCCGTGCGAAGCCGGGGCGGGTCGCTAGTACTTCAAATGATAAGTCGTATATTTTAATTGATTCGTGAACGAGCAATTATCTACACCAAACGACTGATACATTTCATTTTTAAAGCTATCTGAATATTCAAGACATAACATAACATCAGGCCTTTTATCCCGAAGGGAGCACATTAACTTAATATCACTTTACAATGTAACACCCACTTTTTACGATTTATGTCATGAGTCCCGTGTTACTACTAAGAATTTTTAAAAAACCCAGTAATACTTTGCCCGACCCAGGAATCGAACCCAAAACCCCTTGGGCGAGACACACTTACGACCACTCGGCCAACGAGGCAGAGGCTTAATATTTAAGAGTGTCGTAATTGAAATATTGGGTCGCTGTCGAGGGCTCTCTCGGCGAACCAATCAGATTCGTTTGATTTTAAAAAGGCATAATATTAAAAATTATTCTCCAATCTCTTACCAGGTCCTTTTGGCTATCCAAGAAGGTATCAACGTGATTGGATACACCTACTGGTCTCTGATGGATAACTTCGAGTGGACCGGTGGCTACGGGTATGTAGATTTATAATTGTTATCTAACCCAAAATTATTTAGATTTCCGCCAGTGGTTTCACTTGCGGCTTAAATGGAAAACATTACATCATGCCTTTTATCCCCGAAGGTTACCCTGTACAATGTAACACCCACTTATCACTATTTATGTTATGAGTTCCATGTAATAGGGAGTGAACCTATTGCCATATTCGGGGCAAAATTCCAGACTCCATGCTGTTGATTTTTTTAAACCCAGTCATGCTTTGCCCTACCCGAGAATCTAATCCCATGCCGTGCAGTCGCACTTGCGATCACCCGGTAAACAAGGCAGTAATTTTATTAAATTGTGATCGTAAAATTTATATTTTCAGAACCAAATTCGGATTATATGAAGTGGACTTCTCAGATCCGCATCGCAAACGTACAGCGCGGAAATCTGCCCGTTACTATGCAGACCTCATCAGCAACAGATCTTTGTACATTCCACCAGCATGCCAAAGTAATAGTTTTAAATAAATGATATTTATATTTTATTCAAATGTGTGTTTTATTACATCACGATGACAGTACCTCGTTGGTGAAGCTGAGAGGTAATAATAAATAAAAAAAGACTTAAAAACTACTACCTAAAAATATAAGATACTCATATGTAATAGAAATAGTTTAATTAAGATATTAGTATTATTAAAATTAATGATATTTTGGTCATTTAATAATATAATTGGTAATACATATAATAGATTTAATGTAAAATACTTATAATATTATATAAAGGAATACCTATAAAAAAGATATATATATAATAAATAATATTTATATAATAAATAATATTTAAGAGCGCCATTATCGCCAACAAACTGGTAACAGTTTGGCGATTTTTGTATATTTAATAATAATGTATATATTTATAAGAATAAATAAATAAGAAAAAAAAATTAGATGTATTGCATATTTGTGTATAAGAGTGATTTCTGTTGTACCAAACACCACTTTAGCGCTAGCCTACAAAGAGAGTAGAAAACTAAATGTATGGGGATGACACTGACAAGTGTCAAAATTTTTATAGAAAACCAAATTATACGGAATTGACGTTCCGTATAATTTGGTTTTCTATTCTACATGTAGACAAGCGCTAAATGGCGTTTAGCTACAGCTGCAGTACTGTCTACTACTAGAAGACCGTCACCATCATCAACGTCAGCCTATAAGTGCCCACTGCTGAGCAAAGACCTCTCGTCTCTCTAATAATGGACATAACATAACATCACGCCTTTTTATCTTCGAAGAGGTGGGCATAGGTGCACATTACGGCACTTAATGCCACTGCACAATATGACACCCACTTTTCAATATTTATGTTATGAGTCCCATGTAATAGGGGGTGAGCCTATTGCCATATACCGGGCCCAATTCCAGATTCCGTGCTACTACTGAGATTTTTTTTTAAAAAACCCAGTAATACTTTGCTCGACCCGGGAATCGAACCCGAGACCCCCTTGCACTTGCGACCACTCGGCCAACGAGGCAATCTTGTAAGTAATAATTTTATATAATAATAGGTTATATTTTGTTAAAAGATAATAATATCATAGGGTTGGCATATCAAAGATAAAAACCTATAATAATAAAAAACAGATTAAAAAAAAGACATATACGCTAGTGGCTTCGTTTCATTGTTCTCAAGATAATTTTACAGTGGAAACAGTAATACTACAACAGGAGATTTTATGGACTCATTAAAATAATCTCTTAAGTAAGAGTTACCTAAGAAGTGATATAAAATGCACGTAAAATAAACAGAAGACTTTATTAGCATTCATAAATCGCTGTTAAGATAATAAAATACAGTACATTTTTGTATATAATCGCGGAGCAGTAAGTTGTGAAGTGAAGGTTAATTTTACTTTTTTATAATTATAAAAACATTTTCAAATTATTTATGTGTAGACAATAGGGTAGTTTTCTTAATTTTACTTTAATGTCCGTCTGGTACATTAATTTAAAACTATAGACACTTATTTTTTCTTTTCTCACAAAATTAAATACTTTCGACGACATATTAATCTGAAATATCGTGTGACGTCACAGCGTGTCACATTTTGTAGCACGTTATGACGTAACGACCACGAAGAAGTGGGAACTCCTAAACTTAGCGGCAGTTTATCTAAGTATTGCAACTTAATACGAGAAAATAAAAAATTCGTGTCTAATATTTTTTCATTATCTAACTGACGGACTAATTAGATTTTTAATTTTGATACCCTGGAAACCACCCAATTCTTTAAAAGTGCTATTGTGTAAATGGTAAGATATTGTTAATTGATTTATTTTTTGTTGCTATAATTATTTTTTTGGAAATTGATGTCGGTACCTGGAAATTGGAGACGGAGGTTGACTGTCTCGTTGGCTGAGGGTTTACAAGTGTGACTGCTGGGCAAGGAGTCTCGGGTTCGATTCCCGGGTCGGGCAAAGTATTGCTGGGATTTAAAAAATATCTCATTAGTAACACGGAGTCTGGAATCGTGCCTGGTATATGGCAATAGGATCACCCCCTATTACATGAGACTCATAACATAAATAGTGAAAAGTGGGTGTTATATTGTACCACAGGTACTAAGTACTGTAATGTGCACCTCTACCTATCCCTTCGGGGATAAACAGCGTGATGTTATGTTATGTTATAATGTCGGTAAATATTATTTGTTACTACCTAAGTGGTAAGAGGTTAAGGGTCTACTTCACAATGCCCAGAATCAATTTTGTTTTAAAGAGCAAGCGCTTTCTTGCTCTTTCTTCCCTATTTTATGAACCTCACTGTCATGTCTAAATTGAAAATTCGTAAGTAAAAGAAAGTTATATTTTTAAAACCATTCTACATTACAATATTTCACTATAAGTAGTTCTTAATACTTCAGATTCTCTTGACGGACTAAGGAGTCATCTGCAATCCTTACGATGATCTGGATGCATGCAGTTGTGTTGAGGTAAGTGGTTTCTTATTTTACAATGACTAGCTTTCCACCCAAAGTTTTAACAGTGTGGTAAAAGACATACATTAAACCAAAAAGAAAAAAGTAAAATATAAATACTTATTAAGTGTGGGCGAGCCAGCTTCGGCACGAATGGGCCGGCTCAACCGGAGTGATACCACGGCCTTGCAGAAAACCGACGTGAAACAACCCCCCGTTACCAGTCTCATCAATCCCCGAATCCCCTACTACCCAATAATTCTCAATTCCCAAAAGGCCGGTAACCCTGGCGACCCTGATTGCTAACCATGAGGTGGTCCGGTTTATCCCATAAAAATAATGTGTTTCACCCACCCACTGATTGGTTAGAATGTGTGCCATAGTAATCGAATAAAAAATACATTCAAGAAAAACATTCAAATAACATATCTCTTTTTTGACGTCGGTAAAAATGAAGTCTACCATAACAAATCGCTGTGTTGCGATGTGAAAGAAAGTCTAATATTTCCTCAATACCTGTGATACATTATTTCTGTCTATGTATAGTTAAAAGCATTTTTTTAAGGGGGAAGAATCATCGTATGGCTGCACCCGCCTGGGTGAGGAGGGAGGGAGTGTCATTCTCTTACTGACTAAAAACTACCCCATTCCTACTCCTGCACTACGAGCCGGAGCCTCGGTAACCCGTTAGGTTCGAGTCCGCGACTCCGTATCTGCATCAGCCCTATTGGGCCCCATCCGTGGTGGTCTGATGGCTCTTTGAGGCGCGCGCGGTACGCGACGGTCTGGTTCTGGTCGGGCGGCGAGCCTTGCTCGCCTTCCGCAGGCCCGCATAGTTAACTGTCGCCAGCGACTTCGTCCGCGTAGAATATTATTCCTGTTTTAACCCATGGGACCATTTAATAGGGATGAAATATCACCTAAGTCAGTACACACCCTGCCTGTATACTAAATTTCATCAAAATCCGTTCAGTAGTTTTAAACAAAGAAACTTTCATATCTATATAATAAAAGAAAGTCGTGTTAGTTACACTATTTATAACTCAAGAATGGCCAAATCGATTTGGATGAAAATTGGTGGGTACCTCCCCACCAATTTTAGAGCCAGGAGCTAGATTTTAGCTTAGAACCAGGAGACGGACATAGGATACTTTTTACCCAATTCTTTTTTTTTACTTTTTACCGAAAATGGGAACGGGAACTATCGGGATTGCGCGTACGAAGTCGCGGGCAGAAGCTAGTTTATAATAGTAGTGTGATTTATGCAAAGTAAAATTCTAGCTCTATGTTTAAAACGTTTACAACTGACAATGAAGTTATATGTCTTAACAAATTGTTTTCTCCACGATAACAAAAAATCTTTATTACCATAATCTTACACATTTCTATTATTATATTTGTCATAATATAGTAATTATAATATTATCTAAGTACCTCTAAATTCCCTGTAGAGACCACATGCTAAGATGTGGAATGCCTGCGTGGAAGTCGCCACAGTATCCTGACTGCTATAGCCGATAGACTGTCCATTGATGTGGATATTAGTGCAGCGGATTAAGTCCCTGTTCAGGTCAATCAGGGACCTTCCTTTTTTCTTTTTGAAATCAGTTAATAATTTTTTTATTTATTTTATTGATTTACACTTTATTGTACACCATAAAAACATACATAAAAAAATAAACATAAAAGAATGTGTACAATGGGCAGTCTTATCGCAAAATGCGATTGCTTCCAGACAACCTTTGCTAATATGCTTTGTATTTCTTGACCAGTGCGGTATTAGCAGTGTCATCGTCTACTATACTGCCATTTCCATCTGGATTCAAATTCGGGGCAGCCACTGCAGCATACCAAGTCGAAGGAGGATGGAATCTTGATGGTAAGAACTTGATCAAAGGCAAAAGAAAATTGTTTATTGAATCATGGAGTTAGCTTATTCAATATTTCTACACCAGAATTGGTAGTATTATATGTGTTTCTATGTTTAATGTAAGATCTCAGTGTACCATGTACTTAGAAATAAATATATCTTTATCTTTATCAATCAGTAAATCCGTCAAATCTATATATATCTTTATATATATAATTCTTCTGTGAGTGTGTATGTCACTGAACTTCTCTCAAACGACTGAACTGATCTGGGATCTGGGAATGGTTTAGATTCACAAATCAGCCCGGCAGATGGCGCTGCAGTCGATGTTTAGGTTATTTATCCTAAACAGCAGAACTGAATTTTTTGAATGAGTTTTTGTTTATACATTCAAGTGGACATACAGGACAACGTCTGTTTGTAATATTAAAATAACCACTTACATGCACATGAATATAATATATACGATACATACCAAAATAACATTTTTTACTATTTTTATCCGTCTGTCGGTCGGTCTGTCCGTCTGCCTGTCTGTCTGTTTGCACTGGCTAATCTCTATAATAGCTGGACTGATACTGACTTTTATTGGCAGGTAGCTGATGTACTATCAGGGACATAGGCTACTTTTATTTTGGAAAATTGAAAAAAATACTATATTCTAAAATTATGGATTTTAGAACGAATAGAATGTATGTTATAAAATTAAAGATTTTAGAACATACGTTCTACGCGGACAAAGTCGCAGAGGCAAAAGCTACTCTGATTATAAACCCATTATCTCATTCTTTCTTCTTCCTTTCTTTTTTCTTTAGTTAAATAAAACGTTGCCCCACACTAGGATTTTCTCCTGTGTGGTGGGTGCGTTTACAAACATACAAGTTCACATACACATCACACCCAGACCCGAAACAACAATTTGTGGATCACACAAAGTGTCGTTCCGTGCGGGAATCGAACCCGCGACACCTTGCACGGCAGCCGGTTGTCCAGCCACCGCACCAACCGTCATTCATCATCATACCACAAGACGTGCACTACTAAACCAAAGCATAGGCATTCTCCAAAGACTTCCAGATAAGTCAGTGGGAAGCAACCTGCTTCCGGTATCCTGTAGTCTTAATAGGTCATATGCCATGTTGTCTCAGTCAGCTTAGTTCAACCAGCGATCACTACTCCACGTATTTTCAGGAAAGTCCGAAAACATATGGGACCGCTTCGTGCATGAACACCCTGAGAGGATCGATGATAGAAGCACTGGAGATGTTGCCTGCGACTCCTACCACAATTGGAGGAGAGACCTCGAGATGGCTGAGGAACTGGGTCTAGATTTTTATAGGTAGGTACTGGTATCAAAATTATAAGACTATTTTTATCTACTATTGGACATGAGCTTCTCAAATAGTATGCCACTGAGTTTGAACTCTTCACATTCAACTACTGCCAACTTTTTTTAAAAAAAAAAACGTTGCCCCACATTAGGATTTTCTCCTGTGTCGTGTGTGCGTTTACAAACATACAAGTTCACATACACAATGACATCCAGACCCGAAACAACAATTTGTGGATCACAGAAAGTGATTGCCCAGCCACCGCACCAACCGTGCAGTCGCAAACTGCACTGGACAGTGAACAAAAACAACTGCTTTGTGTTTAAATGGCCACGTACTTTTCTGCAAGACATCAGCTTAAAAAACTGGTAGTCACAGAAGTTCCACAGAATTCGTTCACGCGCTCAGCGATTTTAGACACTCGTGGACAACGACCAAAACAATGTTTTCTTACTCTTAAAAAGTCGGCCTACTCACAATCCTGAATTTATAGCATGTAAATCCTTTCTGTCATGTCGTGGTGGCCCGGAGGTTTAAGACACCTACTTCTCATGCATGAGGGTGCGGGTTCGAAACCTACCAACGGCAAGTACCAATGTGACTTTTTCCGAGTTATATGTACTTTCTAAGATTATTTAGACACCACTGACTAACGGTGAAGGAAAACATCGTGAGGAGACCTGGGCTTATAATCTCTAATTATAAGTTTGAAATCGCCAACCCGCATTGAGCAAGCGTGGTGATTAATGCTCTAACCTTCTCCGTGTGAGAAGAGGCTTTGCTCAGCAGTGGGCATTTATAGGCTGATGATGATGAAATCCTTTCTGTGTTTACAGGTTCTCCTTATCCTGGTCCCGCATACTCCCGTCTGGTTTCCCCAACCACATCAACGAGGCTGCCATACAGTACTACAACAACCTGATCGACGGAATCCTTGAGAAGGGGATCGAACCACTCGTCACAATACACCACTTTGATCTGCCGCAATCTCTCCAGGACCTTGGTAAGACCTATATCCTGTACAAAAAGTAATAGGTTCGGTAAGAGTTAACCTCAAATAACTTTACAGTTCTTCTTCACAATTTTGTTTATACGCTTCAAAGGCACATGTCTATTAGACATATTTTTGTGGTGTTAGCCCGTAAACGAGCAGACAGATCACCTGATACCCAAAACGGTACGCGCTCGTAACACCTCTTGTAGGCGTTACAAGTGCGTTACCGGTCAAGGTAAAAGTCACAGTCAAAGCATTTATTTCAATTAAACCATAATTTGGTACTTTCGAAACGTCAACAAATAGAGGTACAAAGTAAATAATAATCTGTCAATCAGTCCGTCAGTGAAGCTAGGTGAAGCTAGGTGCTCATTCCAAAATGTAGATTGGAATAGAGAAGAACGAGTAAGAAACTCCATTCGTTACTCTTCTTCTTTTGGGGATCAGGAATTTAAGAGTTAATGGGGATTGAGAAGATTGGGGAGTGGGTTAATTGGGCATCCGGTAACCTCACTCACACGACGAAACACAACGCAAGTGTTGTTTGACGTCGGTTTTCTGTGAGGCCCTGGCCGCTTCCAAGTAATAGCGAATTCTATTCTATCACATATCCTACTGTAGGAAGTTCTTTATTATTATATCATATGTGCTTTATACAATATCTGTGAACACCATACCTCACAGGTGGCTGGGCAAATCCTCTAATAGTGGACTGGTTTGAGGACTACGCGAAGGTGGTATTCGCTCACTTCGGAGACCGCGTCAAGTTATGGCTGACTATTAATGAACCAGTAATTTTATGTGAAGCTTTCTTTAATGCTGAGGTGTTTCCACCTGCATTTATCAGCCCAGACCTTGGAGTCTACTTGTGCAGTAAACACGTAATGCTTGCCCATGCTAAGGCCTGGCGAGTTTACGACAAACTTCTGAAACCTAAATATCACGGTGAGTCGATAATCAATCTATCAATCTATTTGTATAGGAATCTAAGCCTCCGTGTAGCATGTCCCGTAAGTCCTGGGACCGTACACGATACAATATTAAAACTAATACACATAATGAAACACTCGAATCGTCATTGTCGGAGCACACAAATTCTGCCTATGCTAATTATTAATGAGTAAACATACCTATAGAGACTAACTTAAAACCGTGGGGCAGTTTTGAACAGCCTTACCCCCCTACTGTCTTCCTGATTAGAAACGGACTCAATCAATCTCTTAATCCATTTATGAATCTATCAATTCATCAATATTTCCATGTGTCATTATATCTATGTAAGTATCAATCAAACAGTCTATCAATCCCTCAACCCAGAGAAGTGTTAAGAGAGGATTCAAAAAATTTAATGACTATGCAATAATGTTTGTAGAGGCTAGTAGTACATAACTAATAAGTTTTCTCTCTTTCCAGGAAGAGTCTCGTTAACCACCCACATTGCTTGGTTTGAATCCCTAGCTCCAGAGTATGAAGAACTCGCGGAGTTAACCATGCTCAACTTTGTAAGTTTTTGTACTTTTTTACAAATGTAGTCAGTAGGTTCTCAGGCGTGGTGTTACGTTATGTTATGGTATTTTACTTTGACTTTGAATTTGCCTTCTTACTAAAAGTAAGAAAACCATTTTTTCCCGGCCCGGACACCGATACTGAAACTCCAGGCAAATTGTGTTATTGTAGAAGCATAAATATCATTTTAAATGTAATAAAATCTGATCGTAAAACTATCATATTGTCTGATACTGAATTTTCTTCATCTGTTTTTTTCTTTCCGATTCAGGGTGGAAGATACTCCCATGCAATTTACTCTAAAATAGGGGGATGGCCTCCCGCTTTAGAGAAGGCTTTGGCAGAAGTCAGCTTGAAAAGAGGATACTCCAGGCCTCAGCTCCCACCATTCACACAAGAAGAAATTGAACTTGTGAGAGGTAAAATTTAAAGAGTCTTGGTTGATATAAGAATATCTATAAAATCTAATCATCATCATCATCATCATCAACAGCCTATAAGTGCCCACTGCTGAGCAAAGCATCTTCTCACACGCAAAAAGTTTGAGCATTAATCGCCACGCTTGCTCAATGCGGGTTGGCGATTTCAAACTTATAATTAGAAATTATAAGACCAGGTTTCCTCACGATGTTGTCCTTCACCGTTTGTTGGCAGTATCTAAATAATCTTAGAAAGTACATATAACTCGGAAAGTCACATTGGTACTTGCCATTGGTAGGTTTCGAACCCGCACCGTCATGCATGAGAAGCGGGCGTCTTAATCCCCGGGCCACCACGACACGTTGATTAAAATATAATTTGAGTCAAAAATCTGATACAGTTTTAGCCGAGAATGTTGGAGAACCCTCATCGGGTTGTGGATGTGGAGTAGAGGACCGTCAACTGTCGACCTATACAAAATGTAATATTGATTGCTCACTGGCATCCCACTTAGCACAACTACACATCTATGTGGCTATAGTGACCCATGACAGTGTTTTCAGCCACAGCTAAAGAATCCCAAGTTAAATTAAATTGAAATTTATACCAGATCGAAATAACAAGCTCTACCTTCCCTACCACCACCTCGTTTGTTCATTATGAACTTTCTTGTTAGTAATAGGGTAGTTGCCGTTGTAGACATCTTAAAAAGAATTGACCAACAAAAATGGCATTGGACCGGTCATATGATGAAGGAAAACAAGGAAAAATGGTGCAAGATTGTAACTGATTGGTATCCAAAAGACGGTAAACGCAGCAGAGGAAAGCAGTTAAACAGATGGGAGGACGAACTAAGGCTAACAGCGGGACCAAACTGGAGAAGAGTAGCCCACGACAGAATTCAACGGAGACAGCTAGAGGAGGCCTTTGCCAAATTGCACACTGAATTAAGAGATAATACTGTAACTTTTTGGCACAACTCGTAATATAAAAATTCAGAATAAAAGGCTTTATTATATTATAGTTGCCTCAATTTTGTATTAATGTCCGTCTGGTTGATTAATTTAAAACATTAGACACGTATTTTTTCATTTCGCACAAAATTAAATGCTTTCGACGACATAACAATCTGAAATATCGTGTGACGTCACAATACGCTACATTTTGTAGCACTTAGTGACGTAACGACCTCCCACTCCAAAACTTAACTCCGTTTTATCTAAGTATTGTAACTTTATACGAGAAAATAAAAAAATACGTCTCATATTTTTTCGGTATCTAACTGACGGACTAATTAGATTTTTAATTTTTATTTCCTGGCAACTATCCTATAGTAAAAATAGTTGGGGTGGAAAGCATCAAGTGTGTATTTATGTTCACAGGAACCTACGACTTTTTTGCTTTGAATCACTACACTAGTCGTCTAATGCGCACGGCTAAAGAGGGAGAAAAATTCACGGAATGGCCACTTGGTGATGTTGAAGATCTTAATGGTATCATCGTGAGGAAAGCTGATTGGGCACAAGCTGCTACCTCTTGGTTCTATGTAAGTTTTTAAAATAACTCATAAAAAATATAGATACTTTTAGACCTCTAAAAGATTATAAACAGAAAAGGCTGTAGGATTTTTCGAAAATAATAGTAAAAATTTTACTCCGGTTTAGAAAATATTAAAAATTCAATTTCGAGTAACTGCAAATGGAGAAGAAATTCGTAGCTAGTATGTCATTTGAAATTTGAAAAGACTAACAAATTAGAATTTTTGTCAGAATAAGTTTTGGGCAAAAAATTATCTGAGAAGATTTTGAGGTGCCGTAGTGTCTCCACCAAGATGTAACAAGGGATGCACATAATCCCCAAAGGCAAATTTATAACATTACATAACATAACATCACGCCTTTTATCCCCGAAGGGGTAGGCAGACATGTACATTATGCCACTGTACAATGTAACACCCACTTTTCACTACGGTGAGCCTATTGCCATATACCGGGCACAATTCCAGACTCCATGCTACTACTGAGAATTTATAAAATACACAGTAGTACTTTGCTTCGACCCGGGAATCGAACCCGAGACCCCTTGCCCGGCAGTCGCACTTGCGACCACGCGGCCAACGAGGCAGTAAAATTTATGTAAAACTCATAATACCTCTAGTTCTTCATAACAACACTACTTCAATTTCATAGGTGAATCCTGAGGGTATTCGCAAGAGTCTCGTCTGGTTAAAGCAGCAGTATGGCGACTTAGAAGTCATGATCACAGAGAACGGACTAGCAACGAAAGCAGGACTGGACGATCAGGATAGAGTGCAATATTATAGAGATTATTTAGAACAAGTGAGTCATAAGTTTAGAAATAGTGTCGCGGAGAACCTAACGGGTAACCGGGGCTCCGGCTCGACGTGCAGGAGTAGGAACGGGGTGGTTTTTAGTCAGTAAGAGTCTGACACGCCCTTCCGCCTCACCCAGGCGGGAGCAGTAATTCGATGATTTTCCCCCATTAAAAAAAAAAGTTTAGAAATAGTAAACCTGGTTTAGACAAATGTGTACAATCAGGTGTATTTAATACATTATTGAATTGAAATCAGTAACTTCTAACTGTTAGAATAATTGGACTAAGCTTGCAGTATTATATGTTTATATATTTGGTGGGTCATGCCTAATGACGAATAAATTATTATACTTTCTTTCTTCCTTTAATAGTATCTTGAAAACAATAATCTTTTATCTGACCACCAATATGGTTTTCGTCGGGTAAAGGTACTGATGATGCCGTGAGTACTCTTACGGAGTATATTACAAGAAATATGGATCAAGGTAAAAAAGTTGTCTCAGTATTTTTGGACTTATCGAAGGCCTTTGATACGGTCTCGAATTCTCGATTCCAAGACTGCTAAAACAATTGAATAGAATGGCCATCAGAGACAAGTAACTATCCTGACTATCTGATTACTTGTCTGATAGCACACAGTTTGTTAGTATTGGTAATCGAGTAATGATTTGCCTGAGACGTACGGTGTACCTCAGGGTAGAAAGGTACTGAGCAAATGGAGTTTCTTGCTCGTTCTTCCCCATTCGAATCTACTTTTTGGAATGAGCACCTAGCTTCACCTAGTTTCACTGACGGACTGACTGACAGACTATTATTTATTTTGTATTTGTTGACGTTTCAAAAGTACCAAACTATGGTTTAATTGAAATAAATGCTTTGGCTTTGACTTTTACAAATAATATTGCTAGAACAGTCATTTCCAAAGTTATGATCTCCACATATGAAGAGGCCTTTGCTAAACAGGGAGCCCTTAAAGATTTTTTTATAGGACAAGCCCGTTACAACCTCCCAAAACCGCTGCAACTCCTGTAAGCCAGGATCTACAGTAGATACAACCATGAATACACCGGAACACTGAAGTCCGGCGAACCCAGGGACATTAATAACTATCATGGTTCCCACAACGAAATGAATTAGAAGATATTATAAGAGGAAAAGAAACGATAGTTTCTACTTGTAGGCTGTTATTGATGATGATGTTATCTTTAACCTATGTCTAGTTATTGCTAACAAATACCTTTCTAATGTATTTACATATGTCTGCAGGTTCTACTGGCAATAAACGAGGACGGTGTGAATGTGACAGCATACACTGCCTGGACTCTCATGGATAACTACGAGTGGAACAACGGATACACGTTGGTTATCATTATTATAATCATCTCATCACGCCTTTTATTCCTGAAGGGGTAGGCAGAGGCGTACTACTGCACATTACGGCACTTAATGCTACTGTACCCACTTTTCACCGTACATGTTATAAGTCCCATGTAATAGGGGATGAGCCTATTGCCATATACCGGGCACAATTCCGGACTTCATGCTATTACTGAGTTTTTTCTTAAACCCAGCAATACTTTGTCCGATCCGGGAATCGAACCAGAGACCCCTTGCCCGGGTCTCGCACATACTACCACTTAGTCAACAAGGCAGTCAATTCAAGTCAAAACTTATCATTATTATCATAATAGATATTTTCAGATTCATAAGGAGTAGCTTTAGTCTTTACCAGTTAAATATTATTCAATTCTTTATAACAACAGCCATTTAGGGTTTTATTGAAAGCCAAAACTTCACATTATCTATCTCATTGGTGATTTCGAACAGCTATAACGGCTATATCGGTTAAAAATTGCGATCAAAACATTAATTAAACTGTCAAACACCAAGCGGTCACCGGTGACTGCAACCTATTGTTCTATAATTGTGTCTATAATGACGGTACTCGACGAATTAAATTAATAATACCTGAAAATCCTGAAATTAGAACTGTGACCGACTACCTTTATAGCAAACAAAACAAAAGGGTAGATGACCAATTTTTATTTTAATGTCCGTCTGGTAGATTATTTAAAAACATTGAACATGTGTATTTTTTATTTTCTTACGGAAACGAATAGTTTTGAAGATAATTATATTGATTTGAACTATCGCATGACGTCTCTTTTGAGTACGATTTATACCCTAAATCTAAAATAACGTAGCTACCTTCCACTCCTAAACTTTCATGAGTTTTATCTAAGTATTGTTTTCTTACACGACAAAATTAAAAACATACATATCTATTTTTCATAAATTTTTATTTTTATACCCTGTCATCATCCCTAATGGGATATTTACTTTTACTCTCTTTCCAGTGTAAAGTTCGGTCTATACGAAGTGAACTTCACAGATCCGGGGCGCAAGCGCACGCCGCGTGCGTCTGCGCATTACTACGCTAACATTATAAGGACACACTCACTTGATGTACCAACAACGAGTATTCAACTGTAATGTACGAAGAAGGCGACAAAACATGATCATTATTTAAGGAATATTAATAACATAACATCACGCCTTTTATCCCTAAAGGGGTAGGCAGAGGTGCACATTACGGCACTTAATGCCACTGTACAATGTAACACCCACTCCACTCACCATTTATGTTATGAGTCCCATATAATAGGGGGTGAGCCTATTGCCATATTCCGGGCACATTTCTAGACTCCGTGCTACTACTGAGAATAATTTTAAAAAACCTAAGAACTCTTTGCCCTACCCGGAAATCGAACCCGAAAACCCTAGGCCAGTAGTCGCACTTGCGACCATTCGGTCAACGAGTCAGTCAGAATATTAATACTAATGTGCTAATTAATATATGTATTTTAAAGTAAAATAATAAAATTAGCACTTTACTGCCTATTATTTACACTTATACTCCAGTCACCAGAATATCTCCTTGGTCCTATCTTCCCCAAGAAGGTAACCATAAGCTTGGCTATTCTGCAAAACTCAAATCAAAAGATCGAAGTCAATTCAATTTTTTTTTTTTTAAACATTGCCCCACATTAGGATTTTCTCCTGTGTCGTGGGTGCGTTTACAAACATACAAGTTCACATACACAATGACACCCAGACCCGAAACAACTATTTGTGGATCACACAAAGTGTTGTTCCGTGCGGGAATCGAACCCGCGACACGTGGTACGGCAGCCAGTTGCCCAGCCACCGTACCAACCGTGCAGTCAATTCAATTGCAATCCGCATTGTCATTGGGTGTAACAAGGGTGCTTACTCTTGAAACCAATCTCAATGCCAATACAATAAGCTTTTTGACAATATGAAAAATAAACGTCAATTACTGTTAACACTTTAACAGTTTAAGTTTAGAGTTAATGAAATTATTATTTATTAACATACTTTTATCCCCGAAGGGGTAGGCAGAGGTGCACATTATGCCACTGCACAATGTAACAACCACTTTTCACTATTTATGTTATGAGTCCCATGTAATAGAGGGTGAGCCTATTGCCATATACCGGGTACGATTCCAGACTCCGTGCTACTACTGAGAATTTTTAAAAACCCAGTAATACTTTGCCCGACCCGGGAATCGAACCCAAGACCCCTTGCCCGGCAGTCGCACTTGCGACCACTCGGCCAACGAGGCAGTCGCCGGCAGGCAGGCAATAAATTAATAATTGAAAATAAATTTTAATTAATTTATATTTATAAAAAATATTAATTATTAAAAAATCTTAGTAAATAAAATTGCATTTTTTAAACTTTTTTCACGTGACACAAAACGCTCCTGATTGGTCGAGTTTATCATGACGCCACCTGCTTGTAAATACAAAACAAATTTATTTATATGCCTGCTGTCACAGATAAGAATAGAGGCAACAGGCAAGTGACATCACCGACCTCATTGCAGCGCCATATTGTCAAAGTAGCATTTTGGCACACTATTTAAATATTTAATTTTTAAATCGATGTTTTTCAGCTAATATATACCAGAATTAAAAAAACTACTTTTACTGGATTCCTTAGACTCTACTACATAATAAAAAATGGTTTTTAAAAACCTGTCAAATAGCCTATTTCAATCCAATAAAATCTCAATAAGTATTCAATGTCAAAACTATACAACCCCAATCGTGGCCGTAGAAATAGCATTCAGAGTACGGAATATAAACTCAATACCATTTAGTTCATTCAATATCCACATGTTACGGATGCAATGGGCGCTAGTGTTACAACTCAATACCATTGTCGATCGTTCGGAATAGGATTGTAGTATTGTGAAACCTACTCTTCAGTTCCAACAGTAGCGTCCATTGCATCCGTATTGCGTGGATATTTAGTGAACGAAATGGTATTGAGTTTGGCTTTACATTCCGTACTCTAAATGCTATTTTAACAGCTACAATTGGGGTTGTATAGTTTTGACGTTGAATAATTATTGAATTTTTTTTCTTTGTTTTTAAAAAACGTTGCCCCACACTTGGATTTTCTCCTGTGTCGTGGGTGCGTTTACAAATAATACAAGTTCACATACACATGACACCCCGACCCGGAACAACAATTTGTGGATCACACAAAGTGTTGTCCCGTGCGGGAATCGAACCCGCGACACATTGCTCGGCAGCCGGTTGCCCAGCCACCGCACCAACCGTGCAGTCAATATTGGATTGAAATTGCATTGTCATTGAGATTGGTCTCAAGAGTAAGCACTAAAAATACATAAAAATAGCCAACCTGCTATACAAAAAGATTCATTTAAATCAGTCCGTTAATTCCGGGGATTTTTGCGTATGAACAAACAAAAGACTTATCACCTTGCTATCTAGACTATATATTTACAACAGTAATATCACATAATCATAGTTCGTCCTGTATTGTACCTAAATCCAATGTATTCGTCTTTATAAGGTTTGTATAGAAATTCGCTGAGGCTCGAGGAGTGCGTGTACGCAGCGGGTCTTTAAAGTCGACCTCGTAAAGTCCAAATTTGTTACTGAAAAAAGAATTATTTAACATTTTTTAATTTATCTGCTAATAGGCTAGCACTTTGTTACATGATAATTAAAAAAAATGTTATTGTATATATAAATTTCCAAAACCTTCCAAAGCCAATCTTTTTTAAGAAAACGCCCACGACACATGTGAAAACCATAGTGTGGGGCAACACACTATGGTTTTCTCCTATGTCTTGGGTGTCATGTGTCTACATGTGTAGTATGTTTGTAAACATACAAGTTCACATACACATGACACTCAGGCCCGGAACAACAATTTGTGGATCACGCAAAGAGTAGCTCCGTGCGGGAATCGAAACCGCGACACATTGCGTGGCAGCCGGTTGTCCAGCTACCCCACTAACAGTGTTGTCGATTCGGTTCGCCCATACCTTTCAATTTGGCAACTACTTTTAAAGATTTACTCTCTATTATCGTGTCGAAAAAATTACTAAACAGACGTGACAAAATCTTGGCACCACGGACATTTCTTGTGGTGACTCCAGTCACCCACTCAATGACTTTAGAGAAGACGGTGCCGTACAGTGTTCATGGAGGTCATGTGATACTGAACCACTATTGAAATAGGAAAACCGACATCAGACAACGTTCAATTTTATGATATAAAACATTCTTGACTGCACGGTTGGTGCGGTGGCTGGGCAACCGGCTGCCGTGCAACGTGTCGTGGGTTCGATTCCCGCACGGGACAACACTTTGTGTGATCCACAAATTGTTGTTTCGGGTCTGGGTGTCATGTGTATGTGAACTTGTATGTTTGTAAACGCACCCACGACACAGGAGAAAATCCTAGTGTGGGGCAACGTTTTTTTTAAAAAAAAAAATTCTTACCTAAGTCCATCCATCCACTCAAAGTTGTCCATCAAAGTCCAGGCGGTGTACCCAGTTACATTGACACCGTCCTCTTTCATCGCCAACAAGATCTGGGATATTACATTCAATAAACTTTCAATACGTTGATTTTTACATATTTTGATTAGATTTGATACTACTTGACTGCCTCGTTGGCCGAGTGGTCGGAAGTGCGACTGCCGGGCAAGGGGTCTCGGGTTCGATTCCCGGGCCGGGCAAAGTATTACTAGGTTTAAAAAAAAATCTCAGTAGTAGCATGGAGTCTGGAATTGTGCCCGGTATATGGCAATAGGCGCACCCCCTAATACATGGGACTCATAACATAAATAGTGAAAAGTGGGTATTACATTGTACAGTGGCATAATGTGCACCTCTGCCTACCCCTTCGGGAATAAAAGGCGTGATGTTATGCTATGTAAACTTTCAATAAATAGTTCTTATTTTGTGCTGATAAGATGGTGCTACTGATCTCAATGATCGCTTTTGTCCGATCAGCTTAACCGTAATAAAGTGACGGACCAATGACTTATATTATTTGCGATTATTCTACTGAGCAATAGACCTAAAGAGACATTAGTATCTCCAATAACACAAGCACCCTCATTGATTTCTATCATCAGCTAGAAGACATTAACTACTGAATAACAGCACCACCAATGACCTCTCACCTGTCTTAAGTACTTCCTATAGTAATCAATCCTGTCCTGATCATCCAATCCAGCTTGTGTTGACCGACCATTCTCCGTGACAACGAACTCTATATCTCCATACTGTTGCTTCAACCAGACTAGTTGACGTCTAATACCTTCCGGATGCACCTGGAAGGAAAATAGCAGAAAGATTAATAGTCCTCCTTACCCATTTCGGTAACAGTAACCCTTAATAGCTAAATCCTGTCGTGTGCCCTGATGTGACCAGACCAAATTTAGTTTTGAAAATCCGATCGCAACTAGAGCAGTATAGCTGGCTGGCAGATTATGTATATGGTATGTATTACGGAGTTCATAGAATTTTCCAGTCACATGAGAGCCCATGATAGACGTCAGTAGTCATGAAACAGTTGCTGTAACCGAAACCGGCTTGGAAGGATTATTATTGGAGTTCATAATTTTACAAACCTAGACAGTACTAATTTTGAATCATAAAACCTCGCCCTTCTTAATCCAAAAGTTCTTCTGTATTGAAAAAAAGAAAGAAAAACCATTCATTACGCCACGACACTCAACAAGAATACAGGTACACATAAAAAGCCATGGTGCTGGATTGTGTCAATGGAGTTTTTTTTATAGCATAAGCCGGGAAACGAGCAGACGGATCACCTGATGGTAAGCAATCGGCGCCGCTCATGGACACTCGAAACACCAAGGCGTTACAAGTGCGTTACCGGCCTTTTGGGAATTGGGAATTTGAGGATTGTGGAGGATTCGGGGATTCGGGAGACGGGGTCTAGGGAGGGGGGTAATTGGGTCTCCGGTAACCTCACTCACACGACGAAACACAACGCAAGCGTTGTTTCACGTTGGTTTTCTGTGAGGCCGTGGTATCACTCCAGTCGAGCCGGTTCATTCGTGCCGAAGCATGGCTCTCCCACACTTAAAACTTAAAAGTTGAACTCATTGGAAAAGTGCACTCTTCACCTGTTTGGAAAACTACTTCCATTTCTACAGGAGACAATACCTTTAGCCATAGCCAGTATATCCATCGCATTCGATTGTTCCCACTAATGCATGCTAAGATGGTTTGCCTAACCAAACCTCTAAAAATACTAAAATACTTACGAAAAACCAGAATGACAGAGTGGTAGACCAGCTCTCATCTCGTTCCATTTTAGCATTGAGTTGGATGGCGTCTCCTAAAGGCCAAGGTTGGAAGGTCTCACCTTCCCTCGCTGGGCGGATCAGACGACTAGTGTACTGGTTTAGGGCGTAGAAGTCGAAGGTCCCTGGAGAAAATACGGGGTTTTAAACATTTATCATCATGATCAGCGTGTAAACTGTCCCACGACTGACGGAGTAAAGCATCCCGTGGAATCCCGGAACGTAGATATACGCGAGACACAATGTCTTTTCTATTGTGTCATACGCCGGCAGATAAGCGGTTAATTAGTAATTGTTACGCTTGTTTAAGGTGGATTGCATTTACATTAATCATGGTTACCTACAGGACTAAGGTGGCATTTGCCGTGGACGTCTTCCGGGTGTTGATAATGATGGTCAGCTATATTCATATTGTTATTCTCAAGTTCAATAACAACTAGGCTATTCTTGAAATGTAGGCTTGAATCTATTCTAATTGACGTCGTTGTTTTCCAATAGTCAAAGACACGTAGGCTATCTGTAACTGCCGATTCGAATTTTTATAGTGAGCTCGACTGCATTTTCGCCCGTCATTGGTCGAGATAACATGGCGGACCGTGATTGACTTCACTTCGACCTATTGATTTAAAGATCTTTGACCCTAAGAAAAAAAATCGATGTCATTTAATTATGATTAAAACACCTAAGTTCAGAACTTTAAATTCTAGAGTTTATGTTTTTGACGTGACAACGTCTTATAAATAGGTTTGCCGGGTGACACTTTAAGAAACTGCGTTACGCTCGGCTCACGTTATGCGCTCACAATGAGAGCGAGTGAGAGGCACGCGGGCATGGTTAGCCCGCCGAAGAGCGAGAGAGACAGACAATATTTTACCACTGAAAGTCGTTGTCACGTAAAACTTTCGCCCGTATACCGACTTTACAGGCAACCAATTTTTTTGTTTGTTCTAACTTTGTTTTGTTTTGTTATCTACTGCTCTTACCTCTAACATATTCAATCTCCTTTTGAGTAAATGGTGGAAGTATTGGCTTGGAGTACCCTTGCTTCGAATAGTAATCTCCCAGCGCCTTCTCCAATGCTGGTGGCCAACCACCGACCTTGGAATAAATCGGATGAGCGTATTTCCCAACCTGGAATACACACAAAAGATGTAAAAAATCTCTTATTCTGTATGATTTAGGTGATTCCTCATTGTCACACATCAGATTAAGAAACATCAGGTATTGTTTTTATAATAAAACTTTCGTAAGGTATACTAAATTAATTATCATGTTTTACGCGGTCACTGTCACGTAAAACATAATAAGATAGACGCCGCGTTGGCGCGCGTCGTGGAATGCTGCTCATGAATGAGCCCCTAGCATGACTTGAAACAAGTCGAGTTCCTCGTCAAACAGTTACGTGAAGAAGCCGAAAACATAATTATTACATAACATAACATCACGCCTTTTATCCCCGAAGGGGTAGGCAGAGGTGCACATTACAATGTAACACCCACTTTTCACTATTTATGTTATGAGTCCCATGTAATAGGGGGTGAGCCTATTGCCATATACCGGGCACAATTCCAGACTCCGTGCTACTACTGAGAATGTTTAAACCCAGTAATACTTTGCCCGACCCGGGAATCGAACCCGAGACCCCTTGCCCGGCAGTCGCACTTGCGACCACTCGGCCAACGAGAATTATTAACATTACTTATTTTATTTATTGCTAAACTAGCTTTTACCCGCGGCTTCGCTCGCGTCACAAAAGGATAAAAAGTAGCCTATGTGACATATACCAATACATACAGCGCCACCTATACTAATACTTTTGTTTTCCCTCGGGAATATCAAATTTTTTCGGGATAAAAAGTACCCTATTATTTAATTCATGCTAACTACTAACTTTACGTTTGCAAAAATTCAATGCAATCGGTTTAGTAGTTACGGCGTGAAGTCGGAACAAACAAACAAACTCACTTTCCGATTTATAATATTAGTAAGGAAAGTAAGGATTAGAAAATAGCTCCCATTGCTTACGTACACAGTTCTCTCTCGCTAATTCTGCCAGTTCAGCATCGGCTGGCGACAGTGGATCAAACCAAATGTGATGATTAGCCAGCGATACCTTACCTGTAAATAGATAAATGACTGACTGCCTCGTTGGCCGAGTGGTCGCAAGTGCGATTGCCGGGCAAGGGGTCTCGGGTTCAATTCCCAGATCGCGCAAAGTACCAAATAAAACCCAGTAGGGGTGTTTATAAATTCTCAGTAGTAGCACGGAGTCTGGAATTGTGCCCGGTATATGGCAATAGGCTTACCCCCTATTACCCATGTAATAGGGGGTAAGACTCATAACATAAATAGTGAAAAGTAGGTTTTACATTGTACAGTGGCATAATGTACACCTCTGCCTACCCCTTCGGGTATAAAAGGCGTGATGTTATGTAAATAGATAAATCTTTCATCATGTGAGTTTCTTAACATGTCAATTTGATTATGTCATAATCATTTATGTAACATCGCGCCTTTTACTACCCAGACGATAGTTTCTACGGACATCAACTTTTACACCATTTAAATTATGAGTCCCTTATAATAGGGGATGAGCCTATTGCCATGCATCGAGCATAATTATAATTAATCCAGATTTCGTGCTAATTATAACATTTCACCAAACATCTCACACGCATTCGGGAATAAAAGTCAAAACCGCTTGGTCGGCTTATTACCTCAAAACACTCATGAAATACTAGATATATTTGCCAACTCACCATGATACTTAGGTCTAAACTCTTCATCGTATAGCCTGTAAGCCTTAGCGTGAGCCATCACCACGTTCTTAGAGCACAAGTGAGCTCCAACTTCTGGGCTCATAATGGGAGGAGCCAGGATGCCAGAGCTGTAAACCACGTCACAGATGATCAGGGGCTCGTTGATGGTGATCCACCACTTCACACGGTCACCGAAAAGGGTGTAAGCGACTCTTGCGTAGTCGACAAACCAGTCGGCGACCAGATGGTTTGTCCAGCCACCTGAAAGGATGAAGCAAAAAGGTCTGTAGAAGGAGTAGGTACAAAACTATCTAGCTATTCATCAGACGTATTAGTACGAGAGATGACGACCAAAATTTTTGTCTCATAGCAATACGGCCAAAACCGCCTCAAATCGATAGATACGATTATACTGAACTCGAAAATACCAATATCAGACATTTTCCGCGTAGCGTTTGATCTGACCACAAAAACACCAGACAAAAAATAACGAAAGGCTCGATCCACATGTACAAAAAATTATATCAGACAAAATAAGTGTAGCACCTTCTCTATCAGACAACTTTTCGATACTCAGATATTTTTGACACAGCAGAAATGGCCTCCCACGCAGTTGCTACACTTTCGACCGTTACTACACACCTAGTCGGGTTCAGAATCATACAATCTAACGATTTTATAGGGTTTTTTCCGTATTGCTATGGGACATGGTTTTGGTCGTCATCTCTCGTACTATATGAGTCGCACGAAATGTTAGTTATTATATAAGTAATTAATTAACGACGCCATTATTTCCAGCTAAACTAAGAATGTTGATTTTGGAAATACGCATCAAAACTTTATCTTCCTCCTTTTCAAACAATTAAACCACTTTGTTCAAACTGTCAAACCCCGCTTTCACCGGTGACCGCAACCTATTGTTCTTTAATTGTGTCTATAATGACGATGTTCAAAGGGTTAAAAGATGTATTTAAGTCCCTGGACCAGTTAACGTACCTAATCAAATATCTGGTAATAACCTGGGTGTCTTCAAGGCTCGAGTGAAGAGGTTGCTTATGGGACGACGTGCTCCATCGTAGACCGCATCATCGCTTACCACCAGGTGAGATAGTGGTCAAACGTAGACCTAAAAATAAATCTTTTTATCTGATTAATCTCACCTAAATCTTGTAGACTTTGCGGCAAATCCCAGTGGTATAAAGTAACGAAAGGCTCGATCCCCTTCTCCAGTAGACCATCGATCAGGTTGTTGTAGTAGTTCTTGCCATCCTCGCTGATATGGTTAGGAAAACCAGACGGGAGCAGACGAGGCCAGGATATTGATAACCTGCAAGGTGGATGAAAATGAAACTGAGTATCGCAAACTCGAACACTTGACCAGACTATTTACTTATGCCCAACTTCATGCATTTTTTATGGGATCGGGTCACCTGATTGTACGCATTCGACGCCGCCATTGAACACCCGCATCACCAAGGGAGTTCAGGAGTGAAAAACGATGCCGACCTTTTATATGTTAAGAATTTTGCTATATTTGGGGATTGAGCTACCACGGTGAAATGCTACGCACTGTTTCACGTTGGTTTTCTGTGTAAACATGATATCACTCCAGTTGAGTCGGCCTATTCCTGCTGAAATATGTCTCTAGAAAAACAGACACGTATAAGTCTTACCTATAGAATTGCAATCCAAGTTCTTCAGCCATTTCGATGTCTCTCCTCCACAGGTGGTAGGAGTCGCAAGCCACGTCTCCATTGGTCAGATCTGATATCATCTCGGGATGTTCATGGCTTAAACGATCCCATACGCTTTCTCCTTTGTCTATAGTGAAAAGTATAACGTTTTTAGCCTTGGTATACTTAAGACACCCAAGGTTTCACAAGATTTACACGCTCTTATTTCGGATAGCCAGCTAAATACTTGGCAGCAAAGTAAATTGCCTTTTAGGTCTCACACGTAAAGGAAAGTTTTCGTTATGAAAGCAAACATTTCAAATCATCGCAATTTAAAAATCCTTACTAATCCTTATTATAAATCTGAAAGTGAGTTTGTTTTGTGGCGACACGTGCCACATGCCACATATGACGTCACAAGAATCCTACATCGCACATGCAAAGTTTACAAGCGAATAAACACGGATAGAAAATCCCAACGAACAACTGTTGGGCAGAAAGCCCGCCAGGCACGATCACCTCGCCTGGTCGGAGGATCCTCCTTTTCCGATCTTAGGGAACTATACTCTCTGTTCCCTAAAGTGGTGACCCCGACGTGATTGGAAACAACCTTCACTTCACGGAGCAGATTAGCACCGTCATCCGTATCGCCATCCCTCTCATACATCACTTCTCCGCTGAGCGGTAATCAAGTCGCAGCCAACCAGCATCCTCGGCCTCATCAGGGACCACCATTACCTGCAACGAAGTTGTGCAGCCTGGTTCTTCCCTACGGCCTCACCAGCGTCTAGGCACAGCACTTCTGCACACGGTTCTGAAGGACATCTCCTCCCGTCAACGCAGACGCCAGCCACTACGCACCTACCCTCGCAGCATCTCTTCCCCGACTCACCGTGGGACACTGCGAACTCATCTCTCCGACTCACTGGAGTTTCACCCTGCACCGCTTACCCGACTCACTGGGCACTCAGCGGCACAGTTCCGACTCACTGGAACTAGGGACTTTCTACACTGGCTCTGGCACCGCTCATCTCAAGCATCGACAGCCGTCTCAGCGGGATCGACCTCCGGTCTTGGGAGGGAGTGATGTGGCGACACGTGCCACATGCCACATATGACGTCACAAGAATCCTACATCGCACATGCAAAGTTTACAAGCGAATAAACACGGATAGAAAATCCCAACGAACAACTGTTGGGCAGAAAGCCCGCCAGGCACGATCACCTCGCCTGGTCGGAGGATCCTCCTTTTCCGATCTTAGGGAACTATACTCTCTGTTCCCTAAAGTTTGTTTGTGTTCCACCTTCACGCCGTAACTACTCAACCGATTGCTTTGAATTTTTGCAGACGTAAAGTTAGAAGTCCGGATTAAATAATAGGGTACTTTTTAACCCGGAAAAAATTGATATTCCCGAGGAAAATCAAAAGTATTGGTATAGATGGCGCTGTTTGTATTGGTATATGTCACATAGGCTACTTTTTATTCTTTTGTGACGCGAGCGAAGCCGCGGGTAAAAGCTAGTGTTTGATAAAAACTCATAGGTTGAACTCAAGCATACTGAAGACCAGCTATGCTGATGGACTTACCACTGGCATTCCACCCTCCTTCGACCTGGTAAGCTGCAGTGGCCGCTCCCCATAAGAATCCAGGTGGAAACGTCAAGTCCTCAACACATGATGTCACTGCTAGCACAGTGCTGAAAACAAAATATTTGATGAACTTCTAACACTTAGGTACCTTGCTTACGTTAATTGAGTTCGTCAAATAGAAAGTGCGAAGTCCATAGATAATCACATTGATAATAATCAATTGATGCCCCGACAAACAAATACCCTCATTAGCCTAGATGTCCATAAATAAAACTACCAAAACATTCTTAGTCATCATTCCTATCATTATGTTACTACTGAATAGTCCTAAATAATGTATTGTAGTTAGTCTAGCTAGACTTCACCTAGCGTCACTAACCTTAGTGATGGACGGAGCGAATCTTTGTGTGATCCACAAATTGTTGTTAGGATGTCATGTGTATGTGAACTTGTATATTTATAAACGCACCCACGACACAGGAGAAAATCCTACTGTGGGGAAACGTTCAAAAAATGAAATATTCTACAAGGGCCCCGAATTATTGTGTGCCCAAGAGCCACAGCATAGGCTAAGATGACACTGGCTGTTGATGATTATAGATAATAGATTAACTACATTAGACATGAAGCCAATACGGTAGATGCCTAATTTTTATTTTAATGTCCGTTTGGTAGATTATTTTAAATCATTAGAAAAGACTGCCTCGTTGGCCGAGTGGTCGCAAGTGCGACTGCCGGGCAAGGGGTCTCGGATTTTTAAAAATCTCAGTAGTAGCACGGAGTCTGGAAATGTGCCCGGTATATGGCAATATGCTCACCCCCTATTACATGGGACTCATAACATACATAGTGAAAAGTGGGTGTTACATTGTACATACAGTGGCATTAAGTGTTGAAATGTGCACCTCTGCCTACGTACGACACGTATTTTTTATTTTCTTACAGAAACGAACACTTTCGACGATATATCGATTTGAAAAATCACGTGACGTCACTTCTATTACATTTTATACGTAGTAATGACGTTTTAGCCCCCACTCCTAAACTTTGATTCGTTTTATCTAAGTATTGTTTTATTATACGACAAAATAAAAAAATACGTGTCTAATATTTTTTCATTAGCTTACGGACTAATTAGATTTTTAATTTTCATACCCTGTCATTATCCCAATTGGTAAAAGCGAGCGTTACATTCATAGTGTGCACCTTAGCCTATCCTTTAACAAAAGAAATATTTTATGATGTTATGTATGTGTTACTGTAAAAGCTCGAACTACGGTAAATCTTAAGATTTAAGTGTAAGTCTTAGGATTTACCGACATGAGTTGGTAAATGTAAGTATTTCTGAAGATACGACGATTTTTTCGAGCTTTTACCATTCGAACTCAGTATATGCTAGGTTTTACCACTGTCAGCTGGTAGATGTTGGTTTTAGGAATAAAACAATGAGTAGTTCTTAATTATTTACTTTGAACTATTAGACAAAACAGGTACATAGTATTATAAAGATATAATAATGATAGTGACAAGTATCCTTGTTCTTCCACCGTGTCCAACAGCAAAATGCGTTTCTTCGAGAATGTTAAATAAATCGTCATAACAAACGTAATATTTGATTTCATCATTATCTTCCTTCATCGGGGTATTTAGCTTTTCTTCGCCGCCTATAGTCAAAATATCATAGCGTTTTATACGCCTGTAATGAACAGCTTCCTTCTTTTTAATGTTCTTTGCAGTTTTTACTTCCTCTAAACACTTAGCGTATTTGTCTTTATCAAGATAAAAGTTATTATCTTTCTTGTTTGCCACAAACTCGTCCACTATTTCATAAAATCTTTGCTTCATACTCATTCTGATTCACAAATAACTTTTAAACAACAAAAATATAATTAGAAATCAATTTATCGTGCGAGTTCAAACGTGTCAAACAACGAGCGACTGAGGCGAGCGGAGCGGCGGAGACGGTGCGCGGGTAGCGGTAACGGCGAGCTACAAGTCAATGCGCTGAGTACGTTACGACATGTTTTGTTTTTCAACATTTACCATGCCAATAATGTAAATCCTAAGATTTACCAACGGAATGGTGGTAAAAGTTCGAATCGCAAATCTTTTTGGACATTTACCATTAAGAATTGGTAGATCTTAGGTTTTACTGGAATATCTTAGGATTTACTGCAGTTCGAGCTTTTACAGTAACATATGCATGTTTTTTTGGACAGGACCCCACGTGACTACAAGTTGGATTACGATTTTAAGATATCGACAAATAAATAAGAAAAACGTGGGTGTATAGTCATGTAGGCACTCATGTTTATCCGATAAATTTTATCAACATCTTGTTTAAACAAACAAACATTGAGGTTAGATACCTACTTTTCTATGCATTGTAGGTATGGGTGTGTTGTTATGTGCACAATTCAAGGATACCTGGATCAAAGGAGAGGATAATAAAAAAGCGGCATTGGTTCAGTAGTATATCGCAAAAGTAGGGTACCCGATAATTGTCTGACTAAAGGGGGCGAGTTACCCTGGCTCCCGGTCCACAGACCCATGCTTAGGGTTGCCGATCTCTGACGCCCAGAGTATCTACTGCGGTGGCTGCATGGGGCGTGAGGAGTTTTGTTTCATCACGCTCCCCACCTCCTCCTTAGCTAGCATGATTCATTTGCAGAAGGAGGAGACGGCATCATAGTCCCCCTCGCTCCACCCCATGGCCTGAACCATCGCCGCTCACTTCCCTGAGAACTCGGTAGTGTCAACCCTTGCTGAACACACCGCTACCATGTGCGTGTCCTCCTAGTATGAAGGATGACACCGGAGCATTTCTTCCCGTCAAATCAGTAATAGTTATCTCCCGGAACTCCCGTGTCCGGTAAGCACATGCGTCAGACAGTTGAATCAATTTGTTGGCCTACCGCCATATTTATATCGGGCACAGCTCCGTATATCGAAAAACTCCAATTTAGTTTAGGACACCCGTTAAATCAACCTCAAAACCCCTTTACTTAACACTTTCACTTGCGATTGCGACCCTTACACTAACGAAGCAGTAATTTTTTTTCCAAAAAACCAGTACAAATCTTACCACAAAACAACAATGCTCTCCCTATTCATTGTCGCTAGGTACTGAACAAGAAATTGTTTTAGAAGTACAATATAACTATAACTAGTACAAATTGTTAACACATATTGTTATCATTTTTATCTCACTAATCAAAAACAATAACGATAAACGTTGACATTATGATAAAATAAAAGATAGGTACTTTATTATTTTGTTTTTACACACAAATTCACGCGTAAGTAACACATAACAAAGATAAAAGTCATTGGCCCTCGCTTGGGGGCTTCTCATTTTATAAGCTAACAAGGAAGGGCCAAGGCCTCTCGCCACTTCCATCCACTGGTCCCCCACGACTTTGACGATGTCCTCGGTATATTTAGTAGGAAACCTACCCACAATACGTCTTCCGATCCGCGGTCGCCACTAATCGTAATTAGGTGTAGGTACGATTAATGTTAATGGCCGCGTGCTCCTATACCTACTGGACAGACTATTTATAGACTTACCTATGTCCAGGGTATTTACTGATTTTGTTAATAGGAACAGAGCCAGAGATTGTTTTGAAATTATCCTTTAATTCTTGAGTTCTTTACCCTTTCGTTGTTGTTGCCCACAACGGCAATTTTATCGATCAGACATTTGCAGTTATCAGAGACCACTAAAACGCACGAACTAGATTTATTGTAGAGAGTATTAATCCTCAAACGTAGATTACGATGAACAAGATCGAGATATTGAAACTTTCACCTTGAAAACTACATAATTTACAGTTCGGATTTTGGATATGGAACCCTATAGACTTGAGTATTACTTCATTGAGCATACCAAACCCTAAAATTTTCTGTTCCAAAAATGCTAAAATATCATAAGCACTGTCATAAATGAAGAAGCGTACTACAAACAAATAACATACCTTATTTGTTAACTAGGTACTAGGTATATACATTATCATAATAAAAGGTATCAACTAGATAAATTAATCTCTAAATACATAGTCGTCATCATCACATTACATTTTTCATGTTTTGATAAGTAAGTAAGGTAAGATAGATGCTTTGAATGTAAAATAACTGTAATTCTGTCTTTACGGATGTATACTATGTTATTATGATATTAGTGACTTTATAGTAGCTAGTAAAGAAAAATATTTTGGTCCGTTTTGAAGACTTTATATTTCCGAACGTTTGCTTTTTTCATTCCAATTTCTGGACTATCAAATTTAACATGATACTGTCACTGTCAAAGTCACATTGTACAGATTGTTCTTCGTATTGTGCTGTTTTGAGGTTATGTTAACCAAAATAACACGGTAATTTTGAGTTATATCAAATAGTGAAATGAGTAAGAAACTTAATAATATGAAATGGGAGTCCGTCGCACTGGATGGGTTCCCAGCGTCCATGACAGACAATTTTCAAGGATTCGTGGGTTTAGAGGAATGCACAGTTTATAGTTTCGATAAGGAAGGCAAGCGGTCCAAAAAGGTTTGTTTATTTCTGTATTATAACTTTTTTGTATTATTATATGAATGGGAGTTTACTGTAAGTATTTTATAGAGTTAAAAAAAGTATCTTGTATCAGTAGGAAAGTTGTATTTTATTTATATTTCAAAGTTACAAGTTATGGTGTAATATTTTTATTGAACACATGAAATCGTAAACGTAAACCACAAGTTGAATCAATTCAATATAATATATAAAACAGTTAATGAATATTGTATATTGATAACAATCTGGCCAAACTCGGCCAAAGACTGCCTCTTTGGCCGAGTGGTCGTAAGTGCGACTGCCGGGCAAGGGGTCTCGGGTTCGATTCCCGGGTCGGGCAAAGTATTACTGGGTTTTTAAATATTTTCAGTTGTAGCACGGAGTCTGGAGTTGTGCCCGGTATATGGCAATAGGCTCACCCCCTATTACATGGGACTCATAACATAAATAGTGAAAAGTGGGTGTTACATTGCACAGTGGTATAATGTGCACCTCTGCCTACCCTTTCGGGGATAAAAGGCGTGATGTTATGTTATGATAACAAAATATTTGTAAATATGACTCCGGGAATATAGTTCTTCTTTTTGTGTTGAATTGAACCTTGCGATTTTTTGTCATCTGTCCTTTTGTCTACATTATCATATATGCTTGTGTTCACATTACCTATGTTTTTAAACCATTGTAAATATCCTTTAGTTTTTGATTTATGAAAAACTTTTTACTTAACTTAAATTATACTTACTTTACCAAAACATCCTAAAGTCAAAGTCTAATTGAAGTAAATGGTTTTGACTTTTGAAAATAAACTAAAATTAAATTTTAAAAATGAAGCTACTTGCTCATTCCAAGTTCTAGATTCCTATGGAGAAAAATGCCCAAGAAACTCCATAGATTACTCTTTTCCAATCATGTTCACAATACAATTCTCTAGTTTCATAGTTTTGTTGGTTTGATTGTGCAAGAACAATGTAACACCAAATCCAGTCAAAGAGTCCTACTCTATGTTATCCTATTGATTAACTCAAAAGTACGTAATTTATATTTACAGAACAATAAGCAAGAAAAACTAGCTAGGAAACAGAAGAAGCGAAAATCTTCGGAAAGTGAAACCAAAGAGGTTCCAAGTAAAAAAGTTAAACTAGACAATGGTTTCATAGTAGAAGCATGTGATAACACAGAACCATCACTAGCGAACAATAAACAAAAGAGAAATAAAATTAAAAAGAAGAAAAATAAAAAAGCTAAACAATTAAATAATAACATTAATACTGGCGACACTAGCGAGGATGATAAAGAGAATGGCAATACTGAAGAAGTGCCAAAGAAAAAGAAACCTAAAAACAAAAAGAAAAAAGGTAAAGAGACAGCTGGCACTGAAAAAGTAGTTAAAAAGGTAAAACAGAGATTGGGTGATCTTCCGGAGTCTACATCGGAATTAACTCCTGAAGATATGCTGACTTGGGCAGAGTTTAAGTTGCAGGAGCCTATAATTAAAGCTTTGACTGAACTGGGATTCAAACAGCCGACTAAGATACAACAGTTGACGCTACCAGCTGCTATTCATGGTAAATATTATTTTATTCTTTACATTTTATAATTTTAATGTATAAATTGTATCACGGTGCATTCATATAAGTCAACCACTCTCCAACTATCTATGACCGCATCATTACATTCCTATTGCATTCTGAACATTTTCAGATCTTCTACCGACTTTTTCTGCCTAAGCTGTGTATCAGGTTCAATTTCTCGAGTTATGTCCCTTTTCTCCTTTGAAAAAACCTGATAATTGAAAATAATTAATGAAAAGTGTAATTATACTTATAAGCACCAGTAAATTTATTTCTAAAACACCTTATTTGTAATCTCCAGGTCGTAGAGACATCCTTGGCGCAGCAGAAACAGGCAGCGGCAAAACCCTAGCCTTTGGCCTTCCAATTTTATGTGGAATCCTAAAACTGAAAGAAAAGGCCAAACTAAAAGGCCTAGACTACATACCATACAGAAAACCAACACTTAAGAAAAAAGAAGAACCAAAAGAAAAAAAGCAGAAGTTCAAACAAAAAGACCGAAAAGAGAATAAAAAGCACATTGTGCCAGAAGAGAAATTTAAGGAGTCTTCTGAAGAAGGGTATAGTAGTGGAAAAGAGAGTGATGAAGAAGTAACAAAGAATGCAGGAGAAGAAACAAAGAATGTAGAAGAAGACTATTTAGAAGAATATGATGTTCCTATAAGAAAAAGGGATAATTCTGCTGAAGGAAATGATGACGATGATGATAATTATATACATTTGTCTGATATGTTGGACTCTGATGATCTGGCTGACAGCAGTGATGATGAAGAGGGTAGTGAAGTTGATGATGATGAAGATGAGGATGGGAAAAGTGCTGATGAATTAGGTTCAGCAGATGATGATGACGATGTTGATAGTGGAGATGATGAAATTGATGATGATGGAAGCGGGGATGATGAAGATTTAGAGGAAGAAGAAAATTATGATGGTGATGAAGTCAATGAGGATGAAGAAGGTAATTTTTATATGGATACTGTGTTTAATTATTGTTTCTTTTTTACATTGTAATATTTATCTGCTAATTGCGTTGTTAATCAAGTAATCGGCTAAACGTTTTCGAGTTCCTCCCTCGGTTCGGCCAAATAATGTTGAATAATTTCGTTTTTCAAAAATAGTGCAGATAAGAGAGAATGCCATATAGCATTAACATGTCCGCCGTGAAAATTTCTGTGTACGTTAAAGTTTAAATAAATAAACATACGCCGTGAAATCTATTTCGAATTAAAATAGTTCTGTTTTAATAATACAATAGCTTTACAAAGAAATAAAATGGTTAAAACAAAAAACAACTGGTGAACCATAAATAAATATACGCCGTGAAATCTATTTCGAATTAAAATGGCTCTGTTTTAATAATACAATAGCTTTACAAAGAAATAAAATGGCTAAAACAAAAAATAACTGGTGAACCATTGCAAAAAGCAAACTTCGAAAGTGCATGAGAACTCGTAGTACATTATCAAAACATCAAGCCATGTAATTCTCGACGAGGTTTTTCTCGTCAGGTGGCACGTGCGCTGCGAATAGTGCCTACAAAGTCTAGTGTTTAATTTGCAAAAATTGTTTTTTTTTAATTAAGAAAAATTTCATCATAATTTTTTTTTTTGTTTTTATTTCTTTTTTTTTTTGTTTATACTTCTTTTTTTGTTATTACCTACTTTATACATCGAATGTACTCCTTATGGCCAGTTGTTTTTGTGTAACCATGAGGTTCTAACTGTTTTTTCAATTTCTTTCAGGCGTTGGCTGTGTAAAAGTAGTGGACAACATAGAGATCCCCGGCCATGTGTCTATGAAGACTGGCAAGCCATTGTATGCTCTCATCCTAACTCCTACCAGAGAGCTAGCTATTCAGATCAGCAGACATCTGATAGCCGCTGCTAAGTATACAGGTTTGTGTCTTATGTTTATCGGTGGAAAGTTGATTTTTATCCGACTGAAGGAAGTTTTTTTGTTTGTGTGAATGAGCTGTATTTTTGTATGGGTTTTAAGGTTATTGTTTTAAGTTTCATATTTGTGTAAAGTGTATGCATGGGTACTCGTACAGCAGTCCTAATTTGTATTTTCAACCTTATTTTTAATTGGGTACTTACCAACTAGTCAAATTCAGTACTTTTCTCGAACTGTCAAAATGACAGTTTTCTATAAATTTTGTACGGGATTGTTTATTGCGACGTCACGTTTTTTAGCGTCAAACAGCATACTTATTTATTAAAAACTAGCTTTTACCCGCGGCTTCGCTCGCGTTACAAAAGGATAAAAAGTAGCCTATGTGACATATAACGATATACACAGCGCCATCTATAACAATACTTTTGTTTTCCCTCGGGAATATAAAATTTTTCCGGGATAAAAAGTACCCTATTATTTAATCCGGACTTCTAACTTTACGTCTGCAAAAATTCAAAGCAATCGGTTTAGTAGTTACGGCGTGATCCGCTTTCACGCCGTAACGTACAAACAAACTCACTTTCAGATTTATAATATTAGTAAGGATTTGCTGGAAGAATACTAAAATTAAGTTGGTCATAAAATCAATTAATGAAAGTGTGGTTATTTTTTAATATTTGATTGTATTGATCAGTCGAAATATTTTATTTTTGATTGAGAAAAGTACTCAATTGTTGTGGTCTGCCCGCACTAAAATGATCTTATTTAGAAAAATAATTAGTTACAAAAGTACTAAAAAGACAATAAACAAAAATGTTGGATGAACATCCAAGACCTTGGTAAAATTTAGATTTTTTAGTTAAAAACTCAAAAGCATTTATTTCTATTAAACCATAATTTGGTACTTTTGAAACGTCAACAAATATAAAATAAATAAATAGTCTTTTAGTATCTCCGTCAGTGAAGCTAGGCGCTCGTTCCAAAATGTAGATTCGAGTGGAGAAGAACGAGCAAGAAACTCCATTCGTTACTCTTTTAATAAAGAGTATGTTTACAGATTAAAATTATAGAATCAGTAACTTTCCCTCATCATATCTTATTATCATCAAGGTATAATATAAAGTTTTAATTTTCAAAAAATCCCAGGTATAAGAGTAGCAACGATAGTGGGTGGTATGGCGGCCGTGAAGCAGGAGAGGGTGCTCCGCTCCGGGCCCGAGATAGTGGTCGCTACACCGGGGCGACTGTGGGAACTTATTGGACAAGGACAACCACATTTACAGCAGTTGGATTCTGTTCAGTAAGTAAAACTGATGATAAGCAGTTAATTCACATACCGTATACAATACCGACTGCCTCGTTGGCTGAGTGGCCGCAAGTGACTGCCGGGGTAACCCCCATCGTCTATATACAGTAATACTAAGTATTAGGATGGGAAAATTATTACTGTATTATCACGAAGTCTGGAATAGGGTAGTTGCCAGGGTATGAAAATTAAAAATCTAATTAGTCCGTCTGTTAGGTAATGAAAAATTATTAGACACGTATTTTTTTATTTTGTGAATACCTACTTAGATATGACGAATCAAAGCTTAGAAGTGGGTGCTAAAACGTCATTTTAACATATAAAATGTACACAAAGCACCGCTAATTAGTTAGCGGCGCTACACATCGACACAACTATCATTTACACAATATACATGTGTGGGTAATTTCATATCAATAGATATGTATAGAAACATTCGTCTATCACACACATCTTGGTATTTAAAAATCATTTTTGTGTCGGTATACGCAATAATTTAGTAAATAAGTTTAAATAAAAACGAGGGTAAAGATAAAATTACTCATAACAAACTTTGAATAAATCGAAATCAAAAATAATGAACGATCGAGCTATACAATACCCATATAAATATAGTGCTTTCTCATTGTAATTTTATGTTACTGAATGATATAAAATATTTCGATGATCTCATCTACAGCGCGCTTGGCGCAATGGTTATCGCCTCCAATTGTCAAGTAAAGTGCCGCCGGATCGATTCCAACATTCACATGTTGTTTTAGAATTAATTTATCAAATATTTGAAATTTGAAATTAAATTAGAAACAATTAAATCTTTTCTTTTTTTTCCTTTCCTATTGTTCTAAATCTTATGTTAATTTTAATAGTAAATACTTTAGATTTATTTATACCTATAATATCTTTTATTTATATTTTAGTTCTAGTTATTTATTATTTAGAATAATCTCATTTGCTTCATGCATTTCAACCAACTTAAATAAGATAAAAACAGTAAAAAAGTAATTAACTGTGATTTCTTAATGGTTCGATACCTGAGTATATTTGCAATGTTTGTGGCGACCATAGAAATCTCGAGTCATTTTATTTTACACGCTTATGAAGTAACTACCGACTATTTAAAACATGTTTTTCAAATCACCCGACTTACAAAATAATTGCGTTCTTAGTTGTCAATTTATGAGGATTTCATAGTTTATTGCTACACTACTTATATTCGTGTGCAAAGTTATTTTTATTTTTACAAGATGTTCCAACACCTATCAACATTTAAAAAGGCTGAAACCATTGTTTTGCATGAGCAAAACATAACTAACAATAACTGAAATAGCAAGGCGTTTAATGATATCGGTGAGTAAATAAGATACTACGTTGATATTCTAAATAATATTTATTTCATTTTGTAACTCGACACACCTATCAATTTTTGCACTAGAATAAAATAATTATTGCAACTTATTATGAAGTTCAATATTATAAAGATATATTAATAATTTATTATTAATTGTATTGTAACTTGACTTGTTTTTGTTAGGAGTGTTTCTTTAAAACATATCTGGTTAGGGATTTTTATTCCTTACGCCACTACTTAATTATAAATTATTATTCTAACATTGTGTTTACTTATATTTATTATTATTTTTAAGTAACTTTAATTCCTGTAAAGTATTTCCTGGTATTTTAAATACTTATTTGTTTGGTATCAACAGAGGAGATCCATGCAGTTATGGGTGCACAGATATGCGGAGACCGGTGACGTTAAACATCGTCGACGTGGGCCTAAACCAAAGGCAAATTCATCGGCTCGGCACTACGACATCGTAGCCAGGCACATGGCTGATCCGTTCCTGCCAACCCGCACTACAGCGACAGCACTGAATGTTTTAATACAAACTGTACGGAGACACCTGCATTCTGGTTTAAGGTGCAGGAAGCCAGAGAAGAAAATATTGTTATCTGTGGTTCACCAGCAAAAGCGCTAAGAATTTGCTAAGGACTTTATTAATTTTGATTGGGCGAACAGTGTAATCATATTGAGCGACGAAAAGACTTTCAAGTCGGATAAGGATGGGCGTAAAATATTGTGAAGAAAAGATGGAGAAAGGTATACGAATTGCAACCTTCTGCCTTGTAGGATCAGTGATTGTATTGATTTCGGAATCAATTATTGAGCCTGTCAAACTCTGCCTTTATTAAAATTAACATAAAATAATGTTTAATTTTTTTAAGAATATTAAAATGCTGTCTAGAACATACGGTGAAGTGATGTTATTGTTTTGTGGTTAGAAATTGTCATAATTTCTTTCTATTCAACATGTTTATTCACTTCACTTTAATTTTTCATTAACAAATTTATTTAACTGCTTTCGAACTTGATTGACATATTATATTTACGCCCATCTTCAATTAATTTAAAGTTTCCCTGATTCTAAAGGTCATGAAAGTTAAAATCGTTCCATAGCATTCGTCACATTCTTTTTACTATCATACAGCCCACTGAATATTGAACCTTATAACAACCGTCGTAAAATAGATAATTAATGGAAGTTCAAACGACAAAAAGTCGCCCATTTCAAGAAATATTATGTTGACAGTGTAATTTTTTACATGTTTTACTTGTTTATTACTGTAAAACTGTAATTTAATAATACATTATATTATTAAATTACAAAACAAGAATGTTGTATATTTGTTTATTACCTACTTAATAAAAAATGTTGCTGCCATCGTATTACCGCTGTACCGCATGATATTTCCCGATTCGACTATGAGGTTTATTGTCATATCTATTAATTATGATTTAAAGAACTTTAAACTTAACATGTGGTATATAATTAATTATTAGATATAAATATTGAATATAAAACAACATATTTGTATAATAAATAAATTAATTGTAATAAAAAATAGTATTGTTTTATTTACCAACTCATTTGCTTCTTTTATAGCCTGATATTTATATTTTATGACAAAAAACAAAAAAAAAAATAAGAAAAATAACAAGGTAAAATAAAATTAACTTTTAGCTGGAATAGAACCCACATCATTGATCCTTGAAAGACGATAAAAGCGTGCTCATTAACCAATCGACCACGAGCACTACGATAATGACAGTGAAAATGTCGGGTCATATCAATGATTGTAAATAGTTTTAACCTTACCTATGCATTAAATTATAAAAATACGTATACCGACACAAGAATGAAAATACCAATGGAACGTGGTGGACGAATATTTTTATATACAGTTATATGAAATTACGCACACATGTACACTGTGTAAATGACAGTTGTGTCGATGTGTAGCGCTGCAACTAATTAGCGGTGCTTTGTGTACATAGAAGTGACGTCACGCGACATTTCAAATCAATATATCGTCGAAAGTATTCGTTTCTCTGAGAAAATAAAAAATACGTGTGTAATGATTTTAAATAATCTACCAGACGGACATTAAAATAAAAATTAGTCATCTACCCTATTGTGCCCGGTATATAGCAATAGGCTCACCTGCTATTACATGGGACATATAACATAAATAGTGAAAAGTAGGTGTTACATTGAAATTAAGTGCCGTAATGTGCACCTCTGTCTAACCCTTCGGGGATAAAAGGCGTGACGTTATGTTCTCTTATGTTATATTACAATATACATACGCCAGACTGAAACGTCATAGCATACCTACCCTTGCTACGAGGTTCGACAGCTTATAATAGGAAAACAACATTTTCCTATTGTAAGCCATATAGACTGGTGATATAGACCACAACTTTTTTTAGTATATTTGATGAGCCGATGTTTGGCCACTATCTCACCTGGTGGTAAGCGATGATGTGGTCTACGATGGAGCACGTCGACCCATAACCAACCTATTCACTCGGGCCTTGAAGACACCTAGGTTACCGTTCAGAAAACACGGACTCTGGCAAAGAATAACATCCCTTAGCAGAACGCACAAGGAAACTGAATGGGTCATTGTGATTGTGAATAATCACAGATTCCCAGGTAACAGAAAACAAAGACTGCACGGTTGGTGCGGTGGCTGGGCAACCGGCTGCCGTGCAACATGTCGCGGGTTCGATTCCCGCACGGGACAACGCTTTGTGTGATCCACAAATTGTTGTTTCGGGTCTGGGTGTCTTTGTGTATGTGAACTTGTATGTTTGTAAACGCACCCACGTCACAGGAGAAAATCCTAGTGTGGGGCGACGTTTTATAAAAAAAAAAAAAAAAACTTAATATTATCTGATTCAACAGATTCCTAGCAATAGATGAAACAGACCGCATGGTAGAACGCGGCCACTTCGAGGAGCTGACGCCGCTACTGGAACGTCTGAACGCGGACGAAGAACGCAAGGCTGCGAGACAGAACTTTGTGTTCTCCGCCACTCTCACCATGGTACATGACTTACCGACGCATATGAAGGGGAAGAAGGTATGTCATATTAGTATATTGATGTTTATCATTTTCAATTTAGAGTACTATGCAATTACTAGACTGCGTCGTTGCCTGCGACCAGACACAGACCCGAGCGTGCGGCGCGTCACGTTGCGCACGCGCCTTAAAGAGCCATCAGACCACTACGGATGGGACCCAACAGGGCTGATGCCGATTCGGAGTCGCGGAGATGATTTTCCCCCCTTAAAAAAAAAGACTGCCTCATTGGTCGAGTGGTCGCAAGTGCGACTGCCGGGCAAGGGGTCTCGGGTTCGATTCACAGTCGGGTTTTCGTTTTATAATGTAGCCTATGTCCCATTCTGGACCATTATCTTTTTTTTTGGGATAAGCCGGTAAACGAGCTGACGGGTCATCTGATGGTAAGCAATCGGCGTCGCCCATGGACACTTGAAACACCAGAGGCGTTACAAGGGCCTTTTGGGAATTGAGAATTTGATGATTTTTGGAGATTCGAGGATTGGGGATACTGGGGGGGGGTGGGGATTGGACCATTGGCAAGTTTTGTTTCACGTCGGATTTCTGTGGGGCCGTGGTATCACTCCGGTCGATTATCGAATCCTATCGATTATCTGATTCTAGGGGTAATGTACCCTCGTTCCAAATAATTTTATCCCGATCCGTTCAGACGTTTCAATGTAATTAAATTACAAACGTACACACAAACACATGAACTTTAAGATTTATATTATTAGTAGGAAAACTAACTGCCTCGATGGCCGAGTGGTCGCAAGTTTTGCCCGGCGCAAGGGGTCTCGGTTTCGATTCCCGGGTCGGGCAAAGTATTACTAGATTTTTTTTTAAAAAATCTCAGTAGTAGCACGGAGTATAGTAATGTGTCCGGTATATGGCAATAGGCTTACCCTCTATTACATGGGACTCATAACATAAATAGTGAAAAATGGGTGTTACTTCTGTGTGCACCTCTGCCTAACCCTTTGAGGATAAAAGGCGTGATGTTATGTTATGTTTAGGAAAACTAGGAAGCCTTCGTCGATAAATGGACTATCAAACACAAAGATAATTATACAACTCGAACCAGTAATTTCGGAGATAACCGCGTTCAAATGAACAAACCTCGAAATCTTCATAGATTTCGAGGTTTGTTCATTTGAACGCGGTTTTGATAAAGTACTATGAGTTCGTATGCGCTTTCGAAGTTTGTATTACCAAGACAGAATCATTTCTGTCTTGGTATTACAATAGTTTTACAAAGAAATAAAATGTTTAAAACAAAAAATGGCTGGTGAGCCATTGCAAAAAGCAAACTTCGAAAGCGCATACGAACTCATAGTACTTTATCAAAACATCACGCCATGTAATTCTCGACGAGGTATTTCTGGGTGGCACGTGCGATGCGAATAGTAATATAGTAAACTAGCTTCTGCCCGCGACTTCGTATCCGCAATCCCGATAATTCCCGTTCCCATTCTTGATTTTCGATAAAAAGTAAAAAAAGAATTGGGTAAAAAGTATCCTATGTCCGTCTCCTGGTTCTAAGCTACCTCCTCACCAATTTTCATCCAAATCGATTTAGCCATTTTTGAGTTATAAATAGTGTAACTAACACGACTTTCTTTTATATATATATAGAAGATTTACGTCTAGTGTTTCATGTGCATATCTCCATGAATTCTCTTTGGAAGTAAAAGAAGAATGACTTCTTTAATTTTTGTTTTTTATTTGTTTTGTTTTTTTTTATTTAATAAGTTTTGTAATTGGTATAATGCGTCAAGCGTGTCTTTGCATTGTTCTCACATATACGTACAGTATTGGAATATGCGTCAGAGATATTGTAGAACATACTTTTTATAAAGAGTAACGAATGGAGTTTCTTGCTCGTTCTTCTCCACTCGAATCTACATTTTGGAATGAGCACCTAGCTTCACTGACAGACTGCCTAATAGACTCTTATTTATTTTGTATTTGTTGACGTTTCAAAAGTACCAAACTATGGTTTAATTGAAATAAATTTGCTTTGACTTTTTACTTTATCATCATATCGGAAGTATTCCTTATGGCAAGTTGTTTTGCGTCGGGACGAAAACGAAATATATTTCATGTTGTATATGATAGTAATTAAATATTTTCATATTATCATTCCAGGTAACAAAACATGGCAAGATTATAAATCGAAAGATAGAGAAGATGACACCTCAGCAGAAGGTGAACCGGCTCGTCAAGATGATTGGCATGACTGAGCCCAAGGTCGTTGACATCACCACGCAGAACTTGGGTGAGCAGAACTGTATTTATTTATTTAAACTTTCTTATCCTGTCTTAGTTCAGGCACCTTATATTGTGAACCTGAAAACAAAACTGAAAAACTGTATATTTCTAGACTATTATGTTTGAAAATAAATTTTATTTATTTACTAGCTACTTCCGCGCGGTTTCACACGCTCTACTCAACTCCTATTGGTGATAGCGTGATGTTTTATAGCCTATAGCCATCCTCGATAAATGCGCTATCCAAGACAAAAAGAATTATTTAAATCAGACTTGTAGTTACGGAGATTAGCGCGTTCAAAGAAACAAACAAACTCTTCCGCTTTATATAATAGTATAAGATAATTATTATATTTAAACTTTAATGTCGCAAGGTCAACCTACTACTTTTTGTCAAATTTCTTTATTATATTTTTAACTTTATGCGGTAGCTCCCGCACGGAGAAACTCTTTGTGTGATCCACAAATACATAGTTGTTTCTGGTTTGGGTACCATGCATATGGGAACTGGTTGGTTTGTAAATGTGCACACGACATAGGAGAAAATCCTAGTTGTCCCACGTTAAAAAAAGTGAATAAAATGAGACAAAGTAAAAAATCCAGTAAGTAAATACACAATAAGGTAAACAAAACGGATATCAGCGCGTTTTCACTAAATTATCCTAAATTTTAAGGAACCCCTAAGCTAAGATAGGTGGCATTTAATGATATTTTGGTTTTCACCAACGTTATAAGTGTCACCTAATAATACAAATAAGTCGTGGTGGCCCGGAAGTTTAAGACGCCTGCTTCTCATGTCTCATGCATGAGGGTGTGGGTTCAAAAAAATTTTTTCGAAAAATTCCAGTAGTAGCACGGAGTCTGGAATTGTGCCCGGTATATGGCAATAGGCTCACCCCCTGTTACATGGGACTCATAACATAAATAGTGAAAAGTGGGTGTTATATTGTACCGTGGCTTTAAGTGCCGTGAAGTGCACCTCTGCCTATCCCTAACATAACATAACATCACGCCTTTTTTTATCCCCGAAGGGGTAGGCAGAGGTGCACACAGAAGTAACACCCACTTTTCACATTTATGTTATGAGTCCCATGTAATAGGGGGTGAGCCTATTGCCATATACCGGGCATATTGCCATATGCCGTAATGTGCAGCTCTGCCATAAAAGGTGTAAAAATTTCAGATATATTCACGTGAAAGTATAACAAACAAAGAAACAGGTAAAGAGACTTTCACATTTATAACATAACATCACGCCTTTTATCCCCGAAGGGGATGGCAAATGTGCACATTACGCCACTTAATGCCACTGCACAATATAACACCCACTTTTCACATTTATGTTATGAGTCCCATGTAATAGGGGGTGAGCCTATTGCCATATACCGGGCACATTCCCAGACTCCGTGCTACTACTGAGATTTTTTTTTAAAACCCTGTAATACTTTGCCTGACCCGGGAATCGAACCCGAGACCCCTTGCCCGGCAGTCGCACTTGCGACCACTCGACCAACGAGGCAGTCTGCCTATCCCTTCGGGGATAAAAGGCGTGTTGTTATGTAAAATACCCAATTTCATTTATCACGCCTAACCATCACCCTCTATCCATTACAGGTACAGCAGAGACGCTAACAGAGTCCCGTATAACATGCGCGCTAGAACATAAAGACGCATACTTATATTATATCGTGAAAAGGCACCCTGGCAGGACTATCGTGTTTTGTAACTCTATAGGAAGTGTTAAGAGGTGAGTTTATGTTCTACTAGCTTTTACCCGCGGCTTCGCTCGCGTCACAAAGGGATAAAAAGTAGCCTATGTGACATATACCAATATATACAGCGCCATCTATACCAATATTTTTGTTTTCCCTCGGGATTATCAAATTTTTCCGGGATAAGAAGTACCCTATTATTTAATCCAGATTTCTAACTTTACGTCTGCAAAAATTCAAAGCAATCGGTTTAGTAGTTACGGCGTGAAATCGGAACAAACAATCAAACTCACTTTCCGATTTATTATAATATTATTTATGTTCTATTTCCTAGGTATTCAGTTTGATTTTGGTATGTCAAAGGTGGTGTGAGTTATGACGTTTTTGTTTAGTTTTCTATGGTATAACTGTGTGGAAAGTGGATGAGTTTGCGCTCTATTTTCTTAGTAATATGATTGATTTTGGTATGGCAAAGATGGTGTGAGTTATGACTTTTTTCTTTGCTTCTCTATAACTCATAGTGTTAATAGGTGAGATTTGATCTCTATTTTCTTAGCATTAAGGTTGAACATAAAGTAATTCTATATTATTTTAATGTTAATGTATTCGTGTTACAGATTAGCCCAACTATTCACTTTGCTCAAGTGTCGCCCTCTACCGCTACACGCCAGCATGCCGCAAAGACAGAGAATTAAGAATTTGGAGAGGTGAGTTTTTATACAAAGACGACTATTGACTTAAGATTGTACTATTTTCAGTTAGACCAACTTTGACTTTGGGCCGAGTTTTCCTTAATTTTACAAACATACATAACTTCACGCCTGTCTTCAGACAGAGACTATGGAATGCCAACTACAAGGATTCCTACATACCTCTTTCGCTTCAATAACAGTCATCTATCTTTTCATGCATGGACGTCGGTTAAGGGTACTTTTAATTTGGCCCTTCTTTAATATATACTTTAATATATTCCTTAATTTTCTCTTTGTATATGTAGAAAAGTGGTTAAAATAAAATTAAATCATGTTTCTAATAAGTAATGTAAAATAAAAAACATAGCATCACGCCTTTTTATCCCCGAAGGGGTAGGCAGAGGTGCACATTACGGCACTTAATGCCACTGTACAATGTAACACTCACTTTTCACTGTTTATGTTATGAGTCCCATGTAATAGGGGGTGAGCCTATTGCCATATACCGGGCACATTTCCAGACTCGGTACTACTACTGAGATTTTTAAAAACCCAGTAATACTTTGCTTGGCCCGGGAAACGAACCCAAGACCCCTTGCCCGGTAGTCGCACTCGCGACCACTCGGCCAACGAGGCAGGGGCAGTAAAATAAAACACATTTCTAATATATATTTAAATATTAATAATGTCTTTATTAAACTGTCAAACACCAAGCGGTCACCGGTGACCGCAACCTATTGTTCTTTAATTGTGTCTATAAATACGGTACTCGATGTGTTAATGATAACTATCGTAAAATTCACAATATTCATTGTCATACTTACAATGTTCGACCACGGAGACACATAACTAATTTCGAAGTCACCATATAAAGAAACATACCATTACTTAACACACTACACAAAACCAATTTCCTCCCAGATTCCGCGACGACCCTCACGGAGTACTAATAGCAACAGACGTAGCAGCGAGAGGTCTGGACATACCTCACGTGGAACACGTCATACATTACCAGGTGCCTCGCACGGCTGAAAACTATGTACATCGCAGTGGCAGGACCGCCAGAGCCAGTCGAGAGGGACTTACTATACTCATGATGGATCCCTCCGAAGCTTATTTGTACGCGAAAATGTGCAGGACTTTGAATAAAAGTAAGTTCATAAACTTAATTTTCTATTTACGACTGACGGAACTTAGGATTTTCAAAATACATAATAGGAACACAAAATATGAAATTGTGCTAAGTAAATGATAATAGCCATATAATTATTACAAAAAGAGTTAATAATTTAAATGATGAAAACCGATTTCAGAAAGAAGTAAATTCTAATTTCCTATTAATGTTATAAATGTGAAAATCTTTATACCTGTTTTTTTGTTTGTTCACGTGAATATATCTGAAATTTTTACACCTTTTATGGCAGAGGTGCACATTACGGCACTTAACGCCACTGTACAATGTAACACCCACTTTTCACTATTTATGTTATGAGTCCCATATAATAGGGGGTGAGCCTATTGCCATATACCGGGCACAATTCCACACTCCGTGCTACTACTGAGATTTTTTTAAAATACCCAGTAATACTTTGCCCGACGAGGGAATCGAACCCGAGCCCTCTAGCCCGGCAGTCGCACTTGCGAAGTAATCTTCTATAAATATAGATTATAATCTGAATTAACACATAGGCTGCTTTTCATGCCACGAAAACGCGGGCAACGCCGCTGGCAAAAGCTAGTGCATAATAAATGTATCTAAATTTCCTCCCCAGCATCAGAAGTCCCGACCTTCCCAGTAGACAGTCAGGTCCTGGCTCCCATCAAGGAGCTGATGGTGGTAGCGCGAGAGTTGGATGCACTGGAACTCAAGAAACGAAGGGCTGCGCAGGCGCATGGGTGGAAGGAACGAGCTGCGAGAGAAATGGACATCATTATTGATGATGATGATCTGTATCCTTTTTTTAAAAAAAGTTATATTCTTATAGAAGTATATAATTTTGTAAATTAATTTAAAAAAAATTAAAAGTAAATAATTTATATCGGTCTCGGATGTTGATTTTCAAAATTCTCAAGTGCTACTGTCGAGTTATGGGTTAGATTCCTTGACACCGCATTTGAGGTTTTGTTGATATCTACTATATAAAAATAAGTCGGGTTTTCCTTCCTGACGCTATAACTCCAGAACGCCCGAACTGATTTCCACGGTTTTGCATTCGTTGGAAAGGTCTCGGGCTCCGTGAGGTTTATAGCAAAGAAAATTTATTAATCACTAAACGAAATGTTACATAAAACGAAGCCATCTCGTGGCGAAACGGAGTTCGCCGGGTTTGCTAGTTGTCACTAAAATTTAAAAGATTTTACTTGGGTAAACGCAAGTCATTAGTAGTTAGTACATTCCTGACTATCAGATTTTAATATTTAAAAATTTATTGTATGACAAATGCTATTATTACGCAAGCTATCTTGGGTTCAAATTCTTAATATTATCACGAAAAATCCTTAACTCAATCTACAACAGTCCAGTGAAGCAAGTGAACGCGTCAATAGACAAAGAGTTGAAGTCCAAACGGCGACAACTAGACTCGTTGCTCTCCCGGCCTATATACCCTCGAGGATTCTCGTTCAAGTACCCGACTCTTAACAATGATGCCACGGCATTCCAAGGCAGCGAGGAGAATGCTCTACAGGTAATGTAATTTAGACCTTATTATACTGATTGTAACGTTGTATTTAGCATACCCCTCTTTTGTAGGAGCCAATAGTCCATCAGAGTATAATCAAGTGTCGATGTATGATATAAGGTTGAAATTTTTTCTTGTGATTATTTGATATTGTATAATATGTCTTAAAATTGAGCCCTTAGAGATCATATTTGGTCACGATTCTTTACAAGGTATTCTATGGTTACCATTAAGTAATCAATACAACTTAAGGGGTGCAAAGAAAAGTATACTTTAAAGCATAACATAACCTCACGCCTTTTATCCCCGAAGGGGTAAGCAAGGTGCACATTATACCACTGTACAATGTAACACCCACTTTTCACTATTTATGTTATGAGTCCCATGTAATAGGGGGTGAGCCTATTGCCATATACCGGGCACAATTCTAGACTCCGTGCTACAACTGAGAATTTCTTAAAAAAACCCAGTAATACTGTGCCCGACCCGGGAATCGAACTCAAGACCCCTTGCTCGGCAGACACACTTGCGACCACTAGGCCAACGAGGCAGTCTACATAAAGAATCCATCTTTATTTCGTTACCTGCATAACTTGGCTGATTTCTTTAAAATATTTAACTATATCACTGCTGAACCTTTAAAAAAATTACGAGCATAGTAGTAATAATTATACTGTCTATTTTACAGGTAATGAAAAACGCATTACAATCAGGCCAGCTGAAGACAGAAAAACGAAAAAGTAAGAACGCGCCGCTACTTCAATTACAGAAGAAATTTAAGAAAAAATAGATGATACAATTTGTAAATAATGACTGTTGTTATAAAGTGTATAATAAATCATTTTTAAATGAAATGTCTTGTTTTTGTCGTATGTTTTTTTATGGCATAAGCCGGTAAACGAGCAGACGGATCACCGGATGGTAAGCAATCGGCGTCGCCCATGGACACCTGCAACACCAGAGGCGTTACAAGTGCGTTACTGGCTTTTTATTTATTTATTTATTAATACACCCTGGAGGACTTACAGCTAAAACTACATAAAAATAGAAGCCAACATAAACTCTTGAAAGCCAATTACAAGTCCTCACGTATAGTGACAGACTTAAAATTGATAGGTGAGCATCAAAATTTTCACAGTGGTTACAGCTTATTAAAATTGTAGTATATCGTCTTCCATCTAGTTTATTCCTTCCACCATCAACACAAAATGACATTGGATCCTACAATAAACATGAAAACAGTGTGTTACTATACATAGTCACCAAACAAGCACAAAAAATTGATTTACTAATCCAAAAAATGGGGACATTGATTAACCTCATTACTTCACTAATCAGCAAGTACTAATGGCTTCTATGCGTATTGGGGCATGGAACGCAAATGGACTGGTCAACAAAATAGACATTATGCTCATTTCTGAGACACATCTCAATGATAGACAAGTATTCAAACTCGAGGGCTATAATGTGTATAATACTAATCATCCAGATGGCACCTCGCATGGTGGCACAGCCATACTAATTAAACAAAATATTAAACACAACATCCACAGCTATGGGAGGACTACCTCAAAGCGACTACAATCACAATTGAAAATCGAGAGGGATTTGTCAATATAAGTGCTGTTTATTGCCCACCTAGATTTGCAATAAAAGAAGAAACATTTAAAAGATATTTTCAAGGCCTTGGTATCAAATACATCTGTGGTGGAGATTGGAACAGTAAACACACGCACTGGGGATCTCGACTCATCACCACAAGAGGCAGAGAATTGAAAAAGTGCTTAGAAACTCTAAAGTTGACAGCACTCTCAACTGGTGAACCAACCTATTGGCCAACAGACATGAGCAAGCTCCCTGATCTCTTGGACTTCTTCATTGTCAAGGGATTCTCAGATGATTTTGTGTTGATTACCTGGATGTTGAAAGTTGCCCGGATACAACCTCTGATCACACACCCATTGTGCCCATCCAACTATAATCCATAGAGAACCACCATCAACCCTATATAACCACAAAACCGAAACTGACATAGATGAAGCAACATTCTATATAACTAATCTTATACAGGAAGCGGCTTGGCGAAGTACACCATACTTGACAACGACAAATGGAACCACTAACATACCATCCCAAATTCGGAGGAAATTAGTTGAAAAAAGACGGTTAAGAAGAGTCTGGCAAGGTTAAGAAGAGTCTGGCAAGGTTAAGAAGAGTCTGGCAAGGTTAAGAAGAGTCTGGCAAGGTTAAGAAGAGTCTCAGACGATAGAAGATTGTACAACAGGTCAGCAAGAGAACTTAAAGAGATAATAAATGAGAATGAAAACTACACATTCCAGCAAAAGCTATCAACACTGTCTGCAAAGAGGTCAGATAATTACAGCCTGTGGAAAATCACAAAGAGGTTTAAGAGACCAAAACAGTCAGTGCCACCATTAAGATCAGAGCAAATTCTGCAACTAGATACAAGACACTAATTAAAGGTGGACAATTCTGGGGATGGTAGGAGAGTATTTAATGGAATACCTCCTGAAACACTAAAATAAAGACATAGCATCTGGTTATAGCTGAATAGCCGATGGCAAATCGATATTAAATAGTGTAAAAAAAAAGATATAGTGGTAGTCGTAGATGTTTATCGAGGAAGGCTATAAAAGCAACAGGTTGGTGGAGCAGGTGGGACCACGCATGAATAGCTACTATATAATAATACATTGCAGATCCATGTTTTAAATTGTTACGTAGCCGCGAGGACTTGACAGGTTACCGGGGCTCCGGCTCGAAGTGCAGGAGTAGGAACGAGGTGGTTTTAGTCAGAAAAAGTCTGACCCTGCCACACCCGGGCGGGAGAAGTCATCGGATCATTCACTGAGTTTTCCTCGTCAATAAATTGTGTTAAAATGTTGGGAAATAATAAAAAAAAACATACTGCATACCTTTTACTTTATAAGTATAATAGGTAGGTACGGATAATAAATAGAAGCCTTGTGTAGGCATGTATAAAAATAACAGCCAGTCATCGCATGTCAGTGCATTACGTAAATAAAATAACAGCGAAGATTGTTTAATGTTTATCTTTTACATTACATGCGTTTTATTCTCTGATCTGAAAGATATTATATTTTTAGTACAATATATTTCTATTAGCTTCTGCTACCGGCTTTGCCCGCGTTCCTGTGACAGAAAAAACAGTCGACTGTCTATGTGTTATATCTGGTTATACCAGATCATAATGTACCCCTGTTCCTTCAGCCGTTTGACATGATTCATCAACAGCCTATAAATGCCCACTGCTGAGCAAAGCCTCTTCTCACACGGAGAAGATTTGAGCAATTAATCACCACGCTTGCTCAATACGGGTTGGTGATTACAAACTTATATTTAGAAATTATAAGCCCAGGTTTCCTCACGATGTTTGTCACTGGTGTCTAAATGTCTTAGAAAGTACCTACATATAACTTTGAAAAAGTCACATTGGTACTTGCCATTGGTAGGTTTCGAACCCGCACCTTCATGCATGAGAAGCGGGCGTCTTAAACTGTCAAACACTAAGCGGTCACCGGTGACCGCAACCTATTGTTCTTTAATTGTGTCTATAATGACGGTACTCAACGAGTTAAACCTCCGGGCCACCACAATTTTTTTACATGACACACATAATCTGTTTTTTTTTAATTCTCAGTAGTAGCAAGGAACCTGGAATCGTGGAATACCAGTATATGGCAATCGGCTTACCCCTATTACATGGGACTCATAACATAAATAGTGAAAAGTGAATGTTACATTGTACAGTGGCATCACGAGGATGAAAGGTTACATTATGTTATGTATTTAATGAGCAATAGAGACCTCTGCCTACTCGTTTAATAAATAGGTGTGATGGTATATTATGAAAGCTATGTTAGTATTGTACTGGGTCTCAGCATTGTCTCTTTCTTATATTTGTAAATCAATCGTATCCACACTTGTATTGTAAGGTTGTCTACACATTCGGGACATTTTAATCGTCTTCCTAATACCTATACGAGTACGGTTTTATTTAATTATATTTTAGCCATGGTTATTCCACTGCAGGGCAAAGACCTCCCTACCCTCCTTCCACTACAATCTCCGGCCACCGTAAGCGCGGGCCTGCGGACGGCGAGCATGGGTGGCTCCCCGTCCGACCAGAAACAGACCCGAACGTACGGCGCGTCGCGTTCCGCGCGCTCCTCAAAGAGCCATCAGACCACTACAGATGGGGCCCAATAGGGCCGATGGCGATTTGGAGTCGCGGAGAACCGAGTTACCGGGGCTCCGATCCGAAGAGCAGGAGAAGGAACGGGATGGTTTTTAGTCAGTAAGAGTCTGACACTCTCTCCCGCCTCACCCAGGCAGGAGAAGAAATTCGATGATTTCACCCCTTAAAAAAATAAAAAAATATACGAGGTTTACTTAGGTTTTATTTATTATTTAGCCATGGTTATCCCACTGCAGGACAAAGGCAAAGAAGAGACGAGTGGAAGGAGGGAAGGGAGGTTCCCTTCCCTCCTTCCACTCGTCTCTTCTTGAAGCTTTCTGTGGCCAATCCTTTAGGTTTTTGATGGTTTCGTTTTTTTAGTCACCAGTTGGCGCAAATGTAACAAGAGCGTTTTTATCCAATCACTGCAGCTGTCAAATATTGAACGTCCAATGAGGCGACACTAGCTAATTCCCTATTGGACGAAGAACGAGAGGTTTACACTAGCATCTGGTGAGCAATAATACGGTAGGCTCCATTTGGCCAGTATCTTTTTTACGCTAGACATTAGAGGTGTGCCGATTATGACTTTCGCCGACTGGCCGACTAGTCGGCTAAGCCGTTTACGGTTGCGGGGATTAATATCTTTTTCTGCATAATTAAAGATAATAGTGTTATTATTTATTGAAGTGAACCAGCAGAATTAAAATTTTATCATATCAAAAAGAAAATCTCGTGTAGGTATAGATGTTTTTTGAACAATTGGACAATAATTCCCGTAAAGTTAAGTGTAACCAATGCCAAGTGATAATTTCTCGTGATGGACAAGGAAAAACAGCTAACACTATAAGCATGAACAACCATATTAAATACAAACATCTATCTCTGATACCTCAGTTAGGTTCTGCTATCAAATGTTGAAGCAAAGACGATTCCACCAAGTTTCAAATCTCAGCAGACGAATTACCTAATAATAAACCTAAATATTTCCTATATTTTACCTCTCTGATAAACCAAAATATTTTAAATTACTATCCCCAACTCAGCTACTAAGCGTGAAGAACTAAAGATTATGGAAAACTGCCTATAAATAAGGTCCATATTCGAATGTACTGCCACGGTTGCGGCAACGTGTGCACGAAGCCTAAACGATCACAAGACGTATTGTGTCAACACTAAAGACGTTGTTGTTGCATTGAAAAATGTACACTACCTACTGTTAAAGGTACTGATTGAGTGACTGCCACTCTCTTTTGTACCAGTATTTAGCGGATGATTAATGCTCTAACCTTCTCCGTGTGAGAAGAGGCTTTGCTCAGCAGTGGGCATTTATAGGCTGTTGATGATTGATGATTGATTGAAGCGGATTAAAACTAGAGTGCGCCCTAGACAAGCACCTCATAGGCGCCAATAAGTTTTTTTGGCGTCTGTGCCACTTAATGGGTAGTTGAGATCGCGCCTCTCACGGAGCCCTTATGTAACAGGCGACCCTGGCCTGATTGCCATTTTTTAAGGGGAAAAATCATCGAATGATTTCTACCGCCCAGACGACGCGGGAGGCAGTGTCAGAC